TTGGCCTACAACTCCCAGAAATCCCAGCCAGTTTACCAGGTGTTAGGATTTCTGGGAGTTGAAGGCCAAAAACATCTGGGGACCTCAGGTTGAGAAGCACTGTTCTAGAGCAAGGTACAGTACATTTTATACAGTTAGCAGTTACTCAAATCTCCTACTCCCTCCCCTGGTTGGTCAGGAGAAGTGCCTCCTATGATCCGCTGCCTCATTGCCTGAGACTTCTTCTTGACATCACAGATTGGGATGGAGAGGAAAAGAGAACAACTGGGATTGGTGGGGTTCAAAATTAAAGGTTTGTCATTGTGCCCGCCTCTGAGGGTAAAGGCCCCATTGTCCACACTTGAAAGAATTGGTATTTAATTTTGCATTAATGTACTTTGGAAACTTGGAATAATCTCTGCACAGAGAGTGAGACTTGGGAAACCAGAAAGTCAATCAAATGGGTAAACAAAGTTCTTGATGAGTCCTGGGAGTTGCTGGCAATCTGTCTTTCATCAGGGAGTCCACTGAAAGTATCTGTATTATTTCTAAAGACAGCCATATAGTCCAAAGTCACATGAGCACTGCATAATATAAGTTATGATGTTTAATAAGCTTGGGTCTAATGGATCTTGTGCTGGTCCACTGTACAGCAGGGGCTCAGTTGTAGAAACAGAATGGTAACATATTGGAGCTGACAGTTCAATTATGCAAAATTTTGGAATAGTGAAGAAGTTAGAGAATAAAGGAAAGGGAAACCCAATAAACAGAGAGAAAAAGCTGGGTCTGTTTTGTTAACTAAATAAATGTATGATTTAATATACAGGCAGTCCCTGAGTTACAGACACTCGACTTACAAATGACTCATAGAAAGGATAAGAAATCTATTCCTCGAAAGGGGAATTCACCCCTGAAAGAGTTATCATGGGAAAAGGGGTCTCTATTGAAGCTTTATCAACAGTCCTTGTTTCAAAGCCCAATTTTTCAAAATCCAATGATCACAGGGACAGAAGATGAGGTGAAATATTCTAAAGAGAGTCACAGACAGCAAAACAAACACCACAGAGGTATTAACCTTTCCCTATGCTATCCAAAGCTTCTATCTATCTATCTATCTTTCTATCTATCTATGTATCTATCTATCTATCTGAAGTTACACTGAAAAGCTGTATCTGTTCTGACTTGCAAACAAATTCAACTTAAGAACAGACTTACAGAACCTATTTTGTTTGTAACTTGGGGAATGCCTGTATATCTGTATGTATAGGTGTTTCTTGGGGTGACAGAGTTAAGGAGAATTTTATGTTTTTATTTTTATTTCTCTTGAGGCTGAGAGGGTGGGGCTTGGGAAGTGAGGGAAAGGTGAATAGACACTGCCTAATCTTGACTCCAGGGGTTTTCTCAGAAGCACAAAAGGAGAGTTGATCAGATTGTGTTAGAGCTTCTGAATGTTCTGTTTCTGAACAGTTTCCCAAGCACATTTTATATCAAGTTTCTTTGGGTGCCCAGAAATATGTCTGGTTGTACTGTGGTTTTTTGTGTATACATGTGAATCTTCTCTCTCTGTTTATTAATAAAGCATACACTTGAATTTAGGAAAGCCTAAAATGTTTTGTCAATGTAAACCTCTATAAGATGTGTGGCCATTGTCTGTGATTGGGGGGGGGGGGGCATTGAATCCGTCTAGGAATGTTTGGAGTTGGACTGGGACTGAGACCCAGCTAAAACCTGTAAAAATATGTTTTAAATTTATAGTTATTATTTTAAAAGATTGGGGGGGGGGGTCAATTTTTTGATAGCAAAGTCAATACAAAATTATGGTATGGTATAGTATACGGTATATTATTAGGTGCACTTTTAACTGTTTTTAATTATATTTCTTTAATGTTTATACATCCTAGTTTATATTGGTTTATCCCCCATCTCAACATTTAATTTTTCATTATAAGTTTATAGCTATTATTGTGTATTATTTTGTATTATTCCTGATGCTGTTTGTTACTTTATAAGTAATTGAATCTTTGCCATTTTTGTGTTGTTTGGGAGAGAGGTACAGTCTAGAAATAAAGTTTTATTATTATGAACTTCCCAGTGGTGCAATGGGTTAAACCCTTGTCCTGGCAGGAGAGTGAGTTGAGCTGCCTCTGTCAGCTCCAGCTCCCCATGTGGGGACATGAGAGAAGACCCCCACAAGGATGGTAAAACGTTAAACATCTAGGTGTCCCCTGGATGACATCCTTGCAGACGGCTAATTCTCTCAAACCAGGAGCGAGTTGCAGTCCTGGTACAAAATTTATTATTGTTGATGTTGTTGTTATTATACTATTATATTATTAATAGTATCTCTCCAGCAAACAGGAACAACATTTATCTGACATCTACCAATTCCCATGGGTACCAGTTAATTGGGAATCTACTCTATTAGTTTATCTTAAGTCAATACATATATGTAAAAGAAAAACAAAATTAAAAATCCTTATGCCCCTGTGTACTTTGGTCCCAGTGCTAGACACAGAGAGGAGCAAGGGACACTTAAGGTCAAGCAGAGAGCCCTTAGAGTCTTTACAAAGTCATTCATAATTATTGAGCTGGGAAACAGGAATAACCAGTTGGATTGTCAATTTTTAAAAAATCTCATGTCCTTCTCTCGGACACTCAAAGTCATTTTTGTTGGCTTCTTTCTTCCGGTCTGGTAAGTAAAGGAAGCTATTGAAGACTAATCCCTTTCTGAGACTCTGACATGTGCAGAAATTTGGAGAATGCACAATGATTGTCTTCTCAGTGTTGGCCTGTAGTGAAGATAAAGAGATTTTTCTCAGTTTCTTAGATTTTCCACATGAATGAATAAGTGAGGTGTTTGGGAAGAGAATGGCAGTCTTTCTCACGAGAGGGTTGGGATACTTGTCATTAGCACATTGAATTAGTAGATGCTTCCAAAAGAGGGGAATCTATATGAAATTAAGGGTTTAGACTGATAATCCTATGCAGAAAGACTTAGTTATAAACATAAAACATTATGATTGTAAGCTAAAGTGAGGTCATATTTAGAAAACAGTATTTTGCAGTTTTGAAAAGTTTAGTCAGAAGAGTGTCTCCCGAAAAGACAGCGGAAAGATGAACATGCTTTGAATAATTTAAGTGTCTCCAATATGAACAAAAGAACACTGTTGCAGGTTGCCACTCTTTTTTGGAAACAGTGTTGCTTCGGTTTCCTGGTTCATTTCCCCTAATCAAATAAAAATAATTGAGCATACACGTTTGTCTTTTGGAAATGAATGCCATGCTCTTTTAGTGACCTGATTTGGACAACTGGATATCAGCTGATAGATGTTTTCTGGCTGTGGTGATGATGATGTTTATGAACTGCTTTCTGCTGACTACAGGCATACCTCAGTTACCAAAGCCTATGACAAAGAAGCTTCTTTTTCCAAAGTCTTTGTATGCCACCTCACCCTACCCCACCTCGGCCCTGTTCCTTATCACTCGTCTAGCTGGAAGTTTTTTAGTTGAACACAAATTGAGAGGATTATGAAGTAAGCCTGGAAAAATACGTACCTATGATGCCAAGTTGCAGTAGTGTGTGTGTGTGTGCGTGCGTGCAGTAAATAGTACAGTAAAACTTGAGGTGGGGATAACATTCTACTGTAGACAGTCCTATCGTAAATGAGTGTGACTACTTACCACAGCCAAGGTAAATCCCATTCTGAGCATGCAGGAGCAGTAAAAGGGTGAAAAGGAAAAAGCAAATCCCCAGCATATTTAAAAAGCAGAGAGAGCTATAGGCCATAATGAGAATAAAAAGAAAAGTGGAGGCTGATAGAGGGGAAAAAAATCTGGTTTCATTATGGAAAATCTTTCAGTTGGTGTGTAGAAAATTCAAAGTATTCTTAACATGTAAGAATATGAACGGATGGCTTCATTCCATGTATACATATTGTTAGTTTTCTATAAAAGGTTTGCTAAAACATGTTTAACAGCATAGGAATCTATCCCTATTATTTCCATCTTTTTCCTGTCTCTCATTCCAATTTTTCTGTTAAAGTGTCCATGCACATATCTCTCTGATTAACTACAATATACCCAAGTTGCACTTATAAGTAGAACGTGGTACTTTTTAAAAAGTTACTGTATCATAATTCTTAGTTTATTGAAGATGTTTCAGGGAGAAAAATCATTGTGGCAAGCCTTAGGTTAAAGAATTCTAAGGACCTTGTCACACAGTCCTTTTGGCCCATGCTGTTTCGCTGGCGAATGGAAGGGTGTGCGGAATGGCTCGTGGTGTCCCGCACACCCTCCCTTCTCCCCTCACCACATGGGGGGGGGGGAAAACGTGCATTGCCCCACTGCCCTTTCTGTCATCACATGGGGATTTGGGGAGGAAAGTGCAGATAGCTCTGATGTGAACTGACTCTTGTACAGTTCTTCCCCTCATTGAATTCTGTGGCATCATGCTCAAGCTGCCATGTTAGCAATGTCTGAAATGCACCCTCAAGAAAATTACAAGTCTGTCATGTGGGCTTTCACATATGTCTTCAAATGTGATATGTCTGACCAAAACCCCGGAGAGATTATTGGGAAATGTGATTTTGAAATGTATTTAATAAAAAAAAACTTCTTAGATGATCTCTTGTTAACATTAAGACATGGGGCAACAAGGGATCTTATTATTCATGGACTTGAAACCTTTGCATGTAATAATAATAATAATACATTTTATTTTTTGCCCACCTCTCCTAACGGCTCTCTCCCCCTTTTTGAACTGTAATGTGGACAAATGTTGAAAGGAACAAGACCTGCATAGATATGATCTGCACTTTCTTCCATGGACCATTTCTTAATGGATTGCCCACATTAATAGACATTATAAAATGTTCTGTAGTTGTGGGGCATATATTCATTATCAGTGCGAGTGATATGCCTACAAAGCTGTATGCCTTATAACAACTGCATGTAATACTCCTGTACCAACGCAAATCTTCAACAAAAAAATAGAATTTCTCATGTGTCTTCTATGTTCCTAGGGGTGGTAGAAGGTGACCTAGCTGCTATTGAGGCATACAAATCATCAGGAGGAGATATTGCACGACAGCTAACTGCAGATGAAGTACGTTTGTTAAATCGTCCTTCTGCTTTTGATGTGGGATACACACTTGTTCATCTTGCTATACGTTTTCAAAGACAAGATATGTTAGCAGTTCTATTAACAGAGGTAAGTCTATAATTTTTACTGATCTATATTTATGGAGAGCTCTATGAATATGATTCTGTGGATAACGAAATAATTAAAAAGAGCTGTTTAATAAATAAGCTTTATTATGAAACTTTCCTTGTTTTTTTCAGTTTGATCCTTGAGATGATTTCAGAAATAGTTCTTCTATGTACGCAAAGACCTCAACAGTATAAAAGTACAAAATGTTTCTATTGTGACACAAGATTTAAATAAACAAAACAAATTAGCACTTTTTTTTCCTCTTAAAACCATATGGCTGTGTAGGGGTGAATGCTCTTGGTTCATTTTTTATGTTAACCAACTCAGATACATCTACACAATTTTCGTTTGGAGTTGTTCTGATAGTTCTTTGTTCATTATGATGCTATTTTAGATACACTCTCCAAAAAACTCTGTGGCTTTCCCAAAACAGGTATCTTTAATCTGAGAGCATATGTCTTAGAGTTACAGACTTATGTGACTTTCAGAAACAGTGGGATACACCAGAACACATTTATCCTACCATCCCTTGCACGATGAACAAATGCCAGTTTGTTTTTATTTCCTTTCATTGTGTGCCACAGAAATTTTTTTTGCATCATCACAGTGTTTATTATGTACATCAAATGAAACAGTGCCAAATACATACATTTTAAATACAGATTGTGGAAATGTCCAAGGGGGTTGAATACTTCTGCAAGGCCCTTGATGCACTAAAAAATACCAAACGCAATGGGGAACCTTGGCACTTCTTTCTTTTCTTTCAGTGTAATGCAAGTAATGCTAGTTTGGGTCATACAGGTAATGAATTCATAGAATCATAGAATCATAGAATCAAAGAGTTGGAAGAGACCTCTTGGGCCATCCAGTCCAACCCCCTGCCAAGAAGCAGGAATATTGCATTCAAATCACCCCTGACAAATGGCCATCCAGCCTCTGCTTAAAAGCTTCCAAAGAAGGAGCCTCCACCACACTCTGGGGCAGAGAGTTCCACTGCTGAACGGCTCTCACAGTCAGGAAGTTCTTCCTAATGTTCAGAACTTGCAATGCAAGTTCTTTTGATACAGAAAGACAATGGAGTTTGATTTTTTTTTCTGATGTGGAGATACTGTCACTCTAGAAAATATATCTATGTGAAGCAATCTCCAATATCTTGGCATGTTGAGAGCTTGATAATCAGAACTACTTCATATTGGGAACATACAAAGCCAAATATGAGAAAGATATTACTGGGAAATAAGACTGCCGATTGAAATAATTTTGTTTTTTATCTGAAGAAATTATGTCAGTCCAAATACGGTTTACAATTAAGTGGCAACTATTTTTATGAACTTTTTCTTTGGATTGCTGTGACATTTAAAAATTAGGACTAAATGTCAACCATTTACAGTAGTCTCGCTTATGCAGCCTTCGCTCATCCAAAATTCTGTATTATCCACTCCAGTCTGCATCCCGCCTGGATCCACAGCTGTTTCAATACATTGCAATGTTTGGGTGCTAAATTAGTAAATACAATAATTGCTACATAACATTACTGTGTATTGAACTGCTTTTTCTGTCAATTTGTTATAAAACATGATTTTTTGATGCTTGATTTGTAAAATCATTATGTAATTTGTCGTTTAATTCCTTAATCCCTTTTTATTATCCAACATTTTCGCTTATCCTGCTGGCCTGTTTATGTTGGATAAGCAAGACTCTACTGTACTTCAAGTCCAGATAGAGTCTGTTTAGCAGGAAATGGAATCAAAGTGTTCCTATTTCAAGTAAAAAAATCTAAAAAATGCAAGATGTCAGCTCTTTCTTGATGCTGTCATTGCTTTAAGAAAAAACACATTCTTGGGTGTTTAATATGTGTGATTCTTTCTTTCTTTCTTAAGCAAGAAAAATCATAAATTCTCTCTTGCAGGTATCCCAGCATGCAGCCAAGTGCATTCCAGCAATGGTGTGCCCAGAGCTTACTGAACAAATCCGGCGTGAAATTGCTGCTTCTCTTCATCAGCGGAAGGGAGATTTTGCTTGCTATTTCCTAACTGATCTTGTAACATTTACGTTACCTGCAGGTAATAGTGAAAGCTTCTTTCTCTGTTAACTTGTCCTTGATCAGTTTTAATGATATAAGATTTCCACCTCGTGTCTTCTGACTCTTCTTGCTACAGAATGTACAATTTGGGTTTTCAATTTTCAGAGATCTTTAGAATCACCAGGAAATGTAGGTAGAAAGACTGTCCCCACAATTCCATGTTAACATTGAAATTAGTTTGAGATTTCTGTGCTTTCCTTATTTTTCTTGTCTATATTTTAGTACAGTACTGGAAATAACTGCTTTATTCGTAACACTTGTAATAGAAATGGTTAGAGGCTGATTCTAATTCTGACAGCCTACATTTGCTGGAGATCATTGTTTGTAGAATAGTTATGTACTTGCTTATGGCAGAGTTCCATTATTGCTCTTTGTAAAGAAATCATGGTGTCCTGAGCAGTGTCCAGATGCGATTGCATAAAGAGTGAGTGGTTGGTTGTTTCTTAATGCCTAGATCAGGGGTTCTCAAACTAAGGCTCGAGGGCCGGATGTGGCCCTCCAAGGTCATTTACCTGGCCCTCGCTCAGGGTCAACCTAAGCCTAAAAGTACACAACAACAACAATCCTATTTCATCAGCCAAAAGCAGGCCCACATTTCCCATTGAAATACTAATAAGTTAATATTTGTTTAAATTGTTCTTCATTTTAATTATTATATTGTTTTTAAGTGGGTTTTTTGCACTACAAATAAGATATGTGCAGTGTGCGTAGGAATACATTCATTTTTTTTCTAATTATAATCTGACCCTCCAACAGTTTGAGAAAATGTGACCTGACCCTCTATTTAAAAAGTTTGAGGACTCCTGCCCTAGACTATAGGCCGTCTTTATACAAACAAATAAATACAATACAATACAATACAATACAATACAATACTGCAACAGTATAAAACTACTACATAAAACGTTTGCCACACAGACCTTGCCTATTAAATTCTATAACATTAAAATACACTATAGCGCCTCAAATATAAATAACAATATTAAAATTTAGTTTAGATAAAATTCTGTTAGCTGAGAGTATCCCCTATTTCAGTCATCCAAAATATTAGCAATACATTTATCCTGAATTTTTATTGCTGCCAGGGTGAAAAGAGAAACCATGCGAATTACCACAGAATTTGTATCACATAGGAGATTCAAAATATTTTCCGACAAATTATTGGAATGTATTAGACAGAATAGATCCCAAAAATGTGGATCTTGGTTCTGGATATTGTGTACAAAAGAGCAAAGAATGTGGCAAATCCTCAATGTCTTGGACCCCACAAATACACAAACGAGTGTAGGTACAAGGTGTTTAAAAAAGATGAACCATTTTAGAAAATGGGGAAATAATTGATCAAACTAAACTGTCCTTAGCCATTTGTAAATGAATCTTGTGTTTCAGATGATATAGTATGTAATACACTAGTTATATGAATATTCAAGACAACTAGCATAGTGAATTTTTGTTTTGGAGGGTTTTTTGGACCTTACAGAACTAAAAATGAGCAAACCTGTGAAAAAAACTCTTAATTAGGAATTATGGGCAGAGACCAAAGTAACTATTTATAATTGCATGCTGAAGAATGTGCAATACCGTTCATATTGTGTGCTTGATTAGAAGCTGATTAATCCTGTCTTTTACCGGTGTATCTTGCTCTGATACATCAAAAAAAGTGTTTAACAGTGTATTCCTACATATGTTTCATTGGAAATACATCCCAGTGTATTCAATAGGATTTGATTGCCGGTGTGACTCTAAGATTGCATTTGAAATGTAAGAAGTCAACCTTCAACCTAAGGGATTGTAGGACAATGCCTCACCGCATGACAACCGCATTAATGCCTTTTTTGTGGCAGCATGTCAGGCTATTTTGTGTATATCACCTTGACATAGACTACTTTCTGTATGGAGCACTCACTGTGTAATCATCAATCTAATGATTGTGAAGCAGCCCTCAAATTGCTGGAATATGATGAATGGTACACTTAAGCCATTTGTCATATACAGATTTGTGAAATGTCTTGTCTTTGCAGATATTGAAGACTTGCCACCAACAGTTCAAGAGAAACTATTTGATGAAGTACTTGATAGGGATGTTCAGAAAGGTAAATATGGAACACTGCTTATGCTGCATGGTTATTACTAATTACCTTTGGCTAAGATCTGTTGAATATTGATGAACCAGGGAATAGAACTATATACATAATCAAGGACGAATTCAACATAATAATATAGTATATTCATTGATGCCTGTTCTTTGTTATCATGGTAAAATCTATCTTGGATGTAGGATCTAAGGACATTTTATATAAACCTTCACATGTGTGGCATTATATTCTGCTAAAATTGTTCAAAATATTTGAGAATTTTAAATCCATGCTGGTGATCTGAACCCTTGCAGAATTCGTTTGCCCATATGTTGAGATTGTATCATTGTAGGAATTTTTGAAGATGTATTATAGAACAGGTGCCACTTTCGCATCTCTTTAATAAGTCTGATCTTTAGAGTTGGTTAAGGTAGCGTTTATAGGCTTTTAAATTCACAAGTCTAGTTTTTTGACATCTGCTTGATGTTACCTCCTTGCGTTACATGCATCATACCTTTTAATATTTTTAAGTAAAACTTCTTGCTTTGATACACCGGAAAAAGTGTTCAACAGTGTATTGCTACATATGATTCATTGGAAATAAGTCCCAGTGATTTCAATTGGATTTGATTGCCAGTGTGATTCTAAGATTGCATTTGAAATGTAAGAAGTCAACCTAAGCTGTGTATAAATTACAAGGCATGCACCTGGAAGTTCACCACCGTTATTGATTTGTATGGTTACATTTTGGAATTAAGGGTGCCCTGTGGCACAGCAGTTAAACAACTAAGCTGCTGAACTTGCTGGCCGAAAGTTTAGCAGTTTGAATCCGGGGAGCAGGGTGAACTCCCATTGTTAGCCCCAGCTTCTGCCAACCTAGCAGTTCAAAAATAGGAAAATGTGAGTAGATCAGTAGGTACCGCTTCTGCGGGAAGGTAATGGTACTCCATTCAGTCATGGTGGTCACATGACATTGGAGGTGTTTATGGACAACGCCAACTCTTCGGTTTAGAAATGGAGATGAGGACCACCCCCCAGAGTCGGACACGAGTAGACTTAATGTCAGGAAACCTTTACCTTTACTATCTTAGAATTATTGCATGAGATTAACTGATGTGGAATTACCATGTAATGTTAAAAATAGCAGTGTTTCAGTAGGTTAATATATATTAATATATTGAAATATGATATATTTCAATTGGAGTTCAGATAACTATGATTATATTGTTTATGTCCTCTAGAACTAGAAGAAGAATCTCCCATTATAAACTGGTCACTGGAACTGGGTACGCGTTTAGACAGTAGACTTTATGCACTTTGGAATCGGACTGCAGGGGACTGCCTGCTTGATTCAGTACTACAAGCTACCTGGGGCATTTATGACAAAGATTCGGTGCTACGTAAAGCTCTTCATGACAGTTTACATGATTGTTCCCATTGGTAAGCAGAAATGCTTTAGAAGTAAACATTCACACTTATAGTAATCCTCAAATATGGTGATTTTATATTTCAGTTTCTTAGAACAAAAATGAATCATATCTTGTGTCATTATTTCATTTTTAAAAATCCAAAAGCTTCTGTGAAAGATTTCAATTACCTGGTATTCTGTTGTTCCCTGAAGACGTAAGGATGTTGCATTCTTACTCAACTATCTTGCAGTTAATAAAACTGTTCTGCCTCATTTTATAACACAAAACTATTTGTTATGCATCTTCAAGTTGTGTTTGACAAGATTTATTCAGAGTTTTTGCTTTGCCTTCCTCTGTTGCTGAGAAAATTTGACATGCCCAAAGTCACCTAATGGGTTTCCATGACTGGGAAGGGATTTGAATCCCGATCTCCAGAATTCAACACTCAAACCACAATACCACACAAATTTTACATTATGCTACTATACATATATGCTCAAATAGTTTGGCTTGCTTTTAAAATTGAGTTTGTATGGAGCAGTAAACAAAATAACCACAACTCTTTATGTTTTTATGGGTTTGGAAAAAATCACTGATTCTTGATGACATTCCCCTAGTTCACAGATGGCCTTGAAATATTTATCTTGAGCTGACAGGCAGGCTGTTTTTTCCTCCCAGTCCTACAGTTTCATGTTTAATTTTGTTGGGCAGTGGACATGTAGCCATTAAACTGCTTTTAAAATTTCTAAAGTTCTGACAGGTGACCTTATCCTCCCTCTTCAAAACTGAAATTATCATTTTAAGAGCAGTGAGAAGAACAGACCAACAATTAGTTTCTTAAGTGGGTAGTAGTCTTTCATATGTTTAACTTGTTAAGGTTCAGAAACAGAGTCCCTAAACATTTAAGATGGAGACTGTACACACATCAATTTTCAAACAGTACCCCTAAAAGTAGTTATCATATATATTCGAGTATAAGCCAAGTTTTTCATCACATTTTAATGCTGAAAAAGCCCCCCTCGGCGTATACTCGAGTGAAGGTCCTGACGGTAAGGCATGGGGCTGAAAGAAGCCCTTTGCAGGGCTTTTTCCAGTCGCACGCCTCCTTCCATTTCAGCAATATCTGGGTTGCTGTGCCAAGAGGAGAGGAGAAGCTGCATGTCTCAATTAATGTAATTTTATTAGTATATATTTTTTATTTTGAAATTTCCCAGTAGTGGCTGGATTTCACACCCTAGGCTTATACTCGAGTCAATAAGTTTCCCCAGTTTTTTGTGGTAAAATTAGGTGCCTCAGCTTATATTCGGGTTGGCTTATACGCGAATATACATGGTACTAAAAGACACTAAGTAGCACTTAACTTTGAGTGTTCACATTGACCACATCTCTTGTTGTAAAATACTTTATTAAAATGGGTAGAACATCACTTCAGTATGAGGAAAAAAATCTGCCAAGTCCTCCTTTATGTGGTATTGAAATGTGATTTTGGATTATGAAAAAAACAACCCTTCAGTCTTTGACTTTGTGTACTGTTTGTAGGTTTTATACACGATGGAAAGAGTGGGAGTCTTGGTACTCTCAAAGCTTTGGTTTACACTTCTCATTGAGAGAAGAGCAATGGCAGGAGGACTGGGCATTTATACTTTCTCTTGCCAGTCAGGTAAGCCGCTGTAAATCATAAATATGGGAAAGACAAAATTTGTTGTGAAGGTTATTTGTATGGGCTGTCCTTCTGGGTGCCCCCGGTACATTTTTAAATTAGCTTCTGAAAGATTAAATGATTTATTTACTTGATCTCTAATATTATGACTATCGTTTTTAAATTGATCATAGAATTTTAAATACCATGAGCACCAACCAGTCAGTATAAATCAGCCTTAAGAGTGATCTAAGTTTTCTCATTCTTTATTTATCCCCCAATGAAACTGATAGGTCTTGAAAATAAATTAAAAAGTTGGGCTTAATCGAACCCGGGGTGCAATTCATTCCGTACATTAAAATACAAAAGTCCATATGATATATGTTCTCTCTTTATGTAAGAGTATGTCTCAGTGAATTTGATGGGAAATGGTTCTGAGTACATTTGCATATTGATTACTTCCCAATTTGCGTAACATGCAATCTTTTTTTACTTTTGAGAACCTGCAAATATAATTCTTGAAACCGTGTTGTGTGTAGCCATTTGTGGTTGAGTGGCACACCTGAAAAGGACAAATCCATTGGTGACACACTCAGCTTCATTCAATCACATTCCATTTTTTTCCTCATGTGGCTGCCCATTTTGTTCTGTTCTTATCTTCCACTGGTAAGAAAAGCAAAGGGTGTTCTAAGGAAGAGCTCATTCAAAGCTCTAAGAGCATCTTGAGGTATCTGGAAAAGACCAAAGTCAGAGCAGTGCCGACCCCCAGCTTAAGAGCAGTCTCCTCAAGCGGTGCCCTGCCTCTTTTCTAAGTGGTAGGGTTGTCCCTGTTGGGACACTACATGTCCCTATTTGTGCTTTAATTCAATATAGCCTGCTCAGAGCAGTGTTATAGTAGTCTTGTGCCTTTGTAACATTCCTTGTTGTTTCATGATGGGTGAGTAGTCAACTACAAGAATGTGTAACCAATTCCCTTTAGCTGTGCTCAAATTACAGTAGTGTCAGAGGAAAGCCAAATCCTTGGGGCCTTCTGTTACTATGACTACTATTTCAAGAAATATATGCAGAAATCATGATTTTAATTGAAATTAGGCAAATTTAGCAGATTAAACAAGGCAATTTCAATAAGGCTGTTCTATTCTCTCTCATGGAACTATCAACACAAAATTATATTAGTCTATATCAGGTTGGGGTGATTCTTCTTTTCCAGATACAAATATTTTTTGAATTTTTATTTGTAAACTTTGGTAAGTATTGCCATGGAATTTTAGTTGTATTAAAACCACTGAATAATAATAATAATAATAATAATAATAATAATAATAATAATACAATTAATATCTGCTTCATCTGATAGTTGGCAATTTTCTTTCTTTGATACAGCCTGGAGCTAGTTTGGAACAGACACACATTTTTGTACTTGCACATATTCTTAGAAGACCAATTATAGTTTATGGAGTAAAATATTATAAGAGTTTCAGGGGAGAAACTTTAGGGTATACCCGTTTTCAAGGTAAGTATGACAAAATAAAAATGAGATTTTAAACTTTAAGTTTTGAGGAGAGTTATTGTACAAGATGGTAGTTTGAAGAAGTACCAGTATATGTATGTACACTTATGTACTTAAGTTTTAGCTGCCATGTTCAACAGTTAGTTTTCCATCTCCTGTGTTTTGTTGAAATATTATATCTGCTCTTTTTAATGTAGTGAAGTGCCTTTTGAAAGCATGAAGGCACCCCCTTAGAGAATCAGAAGAGAGCTTGATGTGAAGCATATTGCATTACAAGCAGTCCTTGATTTACGAACATTCAACTTCTAGTTAAGAATGGGAGTGAGACAACAGGAATAAGAGAAATCCATCCCTAGGAAGGGAAATTCACTCCTGGAAGAGATGTGGGGGAAAGGTGTCTCCACTGAAGGTTTCTCACTAATCCTTGTTTCCACAACAAGCCATTTTTTTTCAAAATCCAATGATCACAGGGACAGAAAGTGAAGTAAAATGTTCTGAAGAGGGGCATAGATAACATAACAAACACCACAGGGGGTTAACCCTTCCCTGTGCCATCCAAAGCTAAAAAAATATATATTATTGGGTAGAGTTACTTATTTACCCTATATATACCCTGCCTTTCTTGAGGGGACTCAAAGTGCTTTACATATAGGCAACCATTCAATGCCTTAAAACAACATATAATTAAATAACACTTAACATTTAAAAACATTACATTCAATATTAAAACCTCATTATCCATAATCATAATCCGGTGGAATAGTCATAGCACATATTCCATATCTCTTATTGCACTACAGTTATTCTTCGTAGGCTTGATCCCAGAGCCACGTTTTCACTTTCCTTCTGAAGGCCAGGAGGGAGTGGGCTGATCTAATGTTACTGGGGAGGGAGTTCCACAACCGAGGGGCTACTACTGAGAAAGCCCTGTCTCTCGTCCCCACCAGTCACACCTGTGAAGGAGCAGAACCTGACAGCAGGGCCTCACCAGACAATCTTAACCTCTGAGATGGTTCATAGGGGGGGATATGTATGGACAGGTGAGCTGGGCCAGGACCGTTTAGGGCTTTATAGGCTAATGCCAGCATTTTGAATTGTGCTCGGTAGCACACTGGCAGTCAGTGGAGTTGGCGTAACAGGGGGGTTGTATGCTGCCTGTATGTCACCGTGGTGAGCAGTCTGGCTGCCACCCATTGGACCATTTGGAGCTTCCGAACAGTCTTCAAAGGCAACCCTACGTAGAGCGTGTTGCAGTCGTCTATTCAGGATGTAACCAGAGCTTGGACTACCGTGGCCAAGTCTGACTTCCCAAGGTACAAGCGCAGCTGGTGCACAAGTTTAAATTGTGCAAATTCTTCCTTAGCCACTGCTGAAACCTGGGGTTCCAGACTCAGCAATGAGTCCAGGAGAACTCCCAGACTGCGAACCTGCATCTTCCAAGGGAGTGTAACCTTATCCAACACATGCTGTAACCCCTATGCCCTGTTCGGCCTTACGACTGACCAACCAGGAGTACCTCTGTCTTGTCTAGATTCAGTTTCAATTTCGTCCTCATCCAGACCATCACAGCTGCCAAGCACCAGTTCAGGACCTGAACAGCCTCCTTAGTAGTAGGTGGAAAGTAGTAGTCAAGTTGAATGCCATCTGTGTACTTAAAATGTACCTGTTCCAATTTACAAACAAATTCACCTTCAGAACAGACCTACAGAACCTGTCTTGTTCGTAACTTAAGGACTGCCTGTATTCCAAATTTTGTATCTTTTAAACACTTTAGTATCATATCTGGAGTATAAAGTGTACAGTAAAGCCAGTTTTGATGTGAGCACAGCTTGACTGTAGTGTTCACAGTACCATATTTTTTAACTGCTGGGTGGTTAAATACACTGACAGGTATATATCTTTGAGAATACAAAATAGTGCTCATTGGTTTCAAAAGATCCATTGGTTTTTTGTTGGTTGAGAGGCATGCAGAAAGTGTTCAGATACTTTGGATGCAGTTTCACTATGGAGGGTTGCTATGTTACATATAAACTTGGATTACTCACTGCTATTTTTAAACTCTCTCAAGGCAGGGCACGTTCCTGGCTTAGTTGTTCTGCTGAAGTCTCTGTGAATAACTTCTGATGTTTCTGCGAGGGCTGGCCAATTCAATTATATGTAATGAAAGGCTATGGGGACTGGGTTGATTGGCACTAAACCAAATAAGACTTTATTCTATTTGTTTAACCATATAGGACATTTGATATTTTAAGATGGTACCCAGGCCTTTATATGGTGGGAAAGGAAGGCATGTGTAAAATGCTTGGATCACTTGCCTGTCTCTGTTGCCATTTAACTAGGAATTATTCCTGGTGCCCATGGCACTATAAGTCTCTTTGATTTCAGATTTTAGCAAGAGGGTGTTTGTTGTGTGGCTAGCAAATGCCATCAGGATAAAATTACAGTATTTTATATACACTAATAAAAGAAGAGTTTAGCCTCCTATCTGATGTAGATATTTTCTTGCTTCATAAAGTATATTGAGATACTCATTTAATGTCCTACTTTGACATTAAAATTTTAATTAAAAATATTTCGTGCCCAGATTTATGGTGATTTACACTTTTGACTGTTCCCTTTTATTTCTAGGTGTCTATTTGCCTTTATTATGGGAACAGAGTTTTTGTTGGAAAAGCCCTATTGCTCTGGGCTACACGAGGGGCCACTTCTCTGCTTTGGTTGCCATGGAAAATGATGGCTATGGCAATCGAGGTGCTGGTGCTAACTTGAATACTGATGATGATGTTACTATTACTTTTTTACCATTGGTTGACAGTGAAAGGAAGCTGCTACACATTCACTTCCTGTCTGCTCAAGAGGTAAGAAAAAAAAACCTAAACGGTTCAGATGGAGTTAAATAAGCTCCAGAGACATTATATCAGTTAAATGAAAGCCTAAACTGAGAATGTATTATTATAAAGTCATTGTACAGGTGATTCTGCAGAATAATTTGGAAGTCAGTAATAGAGAGCAGAGAAGGGTGGGTGAGATGGGTTGTGAGCTGAATAACTATGGCAGCCTCACTGTTCCAATTTATTCCAACATGGCTGGTAGAATTGTGTGTTAAGCAGGTATAGTAGTAAAGCTTCTGAGAAAGTTCTGGCAGCCACAAATAATTGTCAAAACAATGAGATCCTAAGTTGAGTTTTTCTAGAAAATTGTTAACTAGAAATTTGAAAGTAGAATATATATATAAAGGGTTACAAGACCTCCAATAACATTGAGCCAAACTATTCCATTTCATCAATCCTCATTAAAGGAGTGCAAAAACTACAATGACAGATGAAGTGGAAAGAATGGATTCTTGTTACTGGTGATTTTTTTGGTAAACAACTACTGGCAGAACAAGTTTTCTAAACCACTAAAATTTCCATGTTTAGAAAACTCAGATCTGTTAATTATTTTACATTATATTTACAGAAAGCTTTCAGAGCACAGTTTTAATAAGTTACGTAGAATTTGGTTAAGCTAGATCAGTTAGAATTTTGAAATGTTAAAGGCTTTCATGGCTGGAATCACTAGGTGGTTGTCAGTTTTCTGGGCTGTATGGCCATGTTCCAGAAGCATTCTCTCCTGACTTTCGCCTGCATCTATGGCAGGCATCCTCAGAGGTTGTGAGGTTGTTAGACTACACAGAGAAGCCAATGAAATCCACAAGCATGTGGATAATTTCAACAGAAAGGAAGAAACCATGAAAATGAACAAAATCTGGCCATGACTATTTTAAAAACCCTCCAAAATCATAACAGTAGATAAAGAATAACACTCAAAACACAGGGGAATCAGGGGACCTCTCAATAAAGGATTCCCTCTGGCAGTAAGAAGCCAGAACTTTAAACTGCTAGCCCATTAAATGCTAACCAAGGTGGCCAATTGAAACATTCACACAGACAAGAGTTCTTTCTCCCAACCTGGACATTCCACAGATATATAAACCCCATTTTCCTAGTTTCCAACAAGCCCCACAACCTCTGAGGATACCTGCCATAGGTGAAGACAAAACGTCAGGAGAGAATGCTTTTGGAACATGGCCATACAGCCCAGAAAACTCACAACCACCCAGTTAGAATTTTATTGAGGTGTTATTCCTAGTATAGGTGATCCCCTGGTTATGAACAAGATAGGTTCTGTAGCTTTGTTCTTAAGTTGAATTTGTATGCACGTCGGAACAGACACATTTTTAAAGTATAGCCCAGCCAATTTTTGTTTTGGATAGCATAGGGAATGGTTAGTACTCCTGTAACCTTTATTTTACTGTCTGTGTTCCTGTTTAGCCAATTGGATTTTGAAATTGGCTTGTGGAAACAAGGCTTGATGATAAAGCTTCAGTGGAGATGCCCTTTTCTTGTGATAACTCTTACAGCAGTGCATCCCACCTGTGGGTCCCCAGATGTTTTGGCCTTTAACTCCCAGAAATCCTAACAGCTGGTTAAATGGCTGGGATTTCTGGGAGTTGTAAGCCAAATCATCTGGGGACCCACAGGTTGAGAACTACTGCATTACAGGGGTAGATTTCTCCAAGTAGGAGTCTTATATAGGTTGGATGTTTGTACCTTGTGGGCTGCCTGTACAGCCAGTCACCCACATTTGTGGTTTGATTTTTACATGTTTGATTAAAATATCTCGGTCCTCCAGTAGGACTCTAGGTCCTCCAGTGTCCATAGAGGTGTGCTGGAGGACTTATAAGATTCCTAGGAAGGTATTCTCTCAAGTAACTCAAAAAGCATATTTTTTATTTGTAGTTTTTCACTTTTGTGGGGGTCCATTGCCATTGGCTCAGCGAACATGGAAGGCTGACTGTACAATACAAAAGTCACTTGACACCAGCCCCTTTTAAAGCTGTGAACTGATTTGAACAGACGCATGTCCTAAATGTATGTGTATGTTTTCCCCCTGAAGATTGGTAATGAGGAGCAGCAGGAGAGGCTGCTCAGGGAGTGGCTGGACTGTTGCGTGACGGAGGGTGGAGTCCTAGTTGCTATGCAGAAAAGCTGTCGGCGGCGCAACCACCCTTTGGTAACGCAGATGGTAGAGAAATGGCTTGACCGTTATAGACAAATCCGCCCCTGCACATCCCTTTCAGATGGAGAAGAAGATGAAGACGACGACGATGAATGACGAAATTGAGATACCTGGCTGCATATAACGTGTGGTGACAACCCCAGCACTTGGGGTGCAGTCTAGCAAATTGTTACAAGATGACCCAGTTATAGCGGGACGAATCCTGCACAGGATTTTTAATCAGCATGGGGAGAATTCAGAAGCTCTTCGGCTGTGTGAAGACAGCTATGTCGATTGGACTACCGTTTGTTTAAAAAAAAAGCAAGGAAAAAGAAAACAAAGCCCTACTTTTATTACCAGGACAGAAAGCATTTTTCTTTCCAATTGTACATCTGCCTATAAATGTACCGCATGTGGTTGTGTAATAGGAAAAAGTATTACCAGCATCTTACAATTATTGGAGAAATTTGTTTTGAATAAGGGCACTTAAAAAGCACATCATAGATGAGTATCTGTTCCTTTTCCTTTTCTTTTTTTGGCTTACAGTAAAACTTGGTTATTCTGCGTCACTTTTTAAAGCATCCTGACACACCTCCGTCAACGTTAATTTCATATAAAATCTTGCTAATGCCCAAGTCAGATCATGTGGCTTTTTTTGTTGGTGGTGCCATATATCCAGAATAAGTTAGAAAATATAAACAAATTTACTGTTTTATTGAGATTTGAATTAATGTTGTGCCCACAATAATAAAATGATATATTAAAGGGAAAAAACTATGGAAGGGATGATGAATTTTGATTTTGTTTTCTGTAAAGGCTTCTCTGCTGTCCATTAATATTTTGTATCATTTCTTTTGGGTAGTTTTCCCCCTTCCAGTCTACTTAAAATAGTCAAAGAAGTACTGTTCCAGAGAACTATTATGCTAAACAATTGTGTGGCGTTTGCTAAACTGAACTAAAAAAATGCATTTTATTCAAACCCGGTATTGCTGTGAGTTGTACAATAGAGATTAATATTAAATCAAGCCTCTCCCCATGCCAGTTAAAATAGCCTCCATCGAGGAGCTCTCCTTGGTCATTAAACTCGAGTGAGAAAGCACTTTGGCCGTTTTCCTTAAAAGCCTTCCTTCTGAAGTTTGTTTTAAGTACTGTATATTATCTTTTCTTGATATGTAAACTTTGGAATTTTTTGCATGTTGATTGTGGCCACATTTGAATATGTAAGTTTCCTGAAAGTATACATTCAGAATATATTCTCCAGTAGAAAAAAAAATCTTTTTATTATACTTGATAACTTTAGCCATGCTATCTTGAATGGGTATAGCCTATCCAAAACCTCACTTTAAAAAACACTAAAGGTTGAATAGTTTTGTAAGCGGATCCTGATAAGCACTTTTTGAAGACTAATGATGGTGGAAATGATGACAAGGAGTATCTAGTAAAATGGATTTCCTTGTTTAGGAATCTGGACAGTTATACATGCAGTTACACATACATATTTTTACATAGTTGTAAAAAAACAAAAAAGCAAACACAACATCCCTGGAACTCATCAGAATTTGCTGCTTTTCTAAATGTGGCTTAGTGTTGAAAGCAAAACCTAAAAAAAAAAAATCCTAGTGACAGATCTCCACTGAAATTTCATTAAGGTACTAACACAGAAGAAATGCATTAATATCGCCTTTTCCCACTTCTGACACAAGCATATCGTGTGCGTGTATATGTGTGTATTTTGTCGTGGGTTCTTTCAATGCATGCATACATTATTAAATACCAATGCATGTTTACCTGTGATGGGTTAAACTTCCTAAGCAGTAGAATAATTGGGTTTCTCTTCCAGATTCTGCTTTAATGTACACTCCTAATTCTTTCTAAATACAGGCATAAAGTTAGTACCTTACATTTTTGCCTACCTTACATACGTCACAGTAAAGTTCCCACATGCCTGGACCAGTAAAGTAAGCTAGATGATTATGATTGTGGGAGGAGGTAGTTACTTGAAATGATGCAACTTTTGCACCCCAAGTCTGAGTCACAGTTTACCTTAAATTGCTGTTTCCAGCAAGATACACCTGTTTTACTTTGATTAGTGTGATCATAGTAGGTGAAAATGACTAAATTAGTAGCCATGTTATCCCACTGCAGTATCAAACCCTTTAAAATATTATCGAATGAAAGCAGTTGCTTTTTTTGGCAAGGATAAAGATAAGTCTGAACTTTTATTGTCTCATATCCCCACGTCCTACAAGACGCCATCATAACCATCTAAATCACTTCTGAGTCTCGGTTCATCCGTGAGGTGGTTTTATAGATTGTACCAGCAGCTGTTCTAGCTCCGGAAAGCACATACCAAGTAAATTTGTAATTGTGCCTTGAACACGGTTTGCGGTTATGCAAGACCCTCTCACCTGATAAGTCTTTGTGTCGGAAAACAAGACTTGGTCACATTTTGAATTATGGTTGTGTCGTAAAAGTTGTACCACTGTTTTGAAAACCAAAGGGTAAGGTCTAGTTTTAGTTGATTTTCCATAGCAATGTGTGGTGTTTCAATAGAAAACTTACAATTATAGAGGTTAGGCAATCTGCCTTTCTGGCGGAAAAAGAGTTGTTGGGTTTTGAATACTTGAATGGTTTTATTCCCAGATGTCCAGAATTCTGTTAGTGTCATACACAGGTGTAAATAAGACTTCTGCCTGTGTATTTAACTCTCCTAGTTGGTGCAGAGGGAAGCATTTGTTATCTCCCTTTTTGCTGTTTAATAGCTGGCAGAGAGCAAGGGGTATCGGAGACGTGTTTGGCTATGTTCTTACATCCAGAACAAAGTCTTCATCTGGGACTTTCTCTAAGCTCTTCTGAAGATCCCAGAGGTTTATGCCATTGTACATCTAGCTATAATGTATGCCCTGCTTTCCACTGGCCATCAAATTGGACAGAGAGGAGAAGGCAGGGAGGTACTGTGGAGAGATATATATTGTTTCTCCTGGACAGGGATTTCAGTTATGTATTCTGATGCAGGAAATTGAACGGGGAAATAGTTTGGTTCTATCTAGTTCTGGCTTTAAATTCTACAACCTCTTTAGAAGAGAAGTACACCAATGATGATTTGACAAAGCTTTGTTCTACTGCAGTGGACCTGTGCTTTCTGAATCACTCATAGACACACATATATGTACCATTTCTTAAATGATTTATATATTTATTTGAAGATTGCTTTCAAAGCTACAGCATTTCTGTGAAGTTGGATTAAAAACCTCCTTGAGGGGTAGGATCTATTTTTAAGCGGGGAATTTTTCTTCGAGTTAGTACCTGGAAGTCATATGGCATTAACTGCCTCCAAGCAGCCAAATTTTGGGCCGGAAGTTCCAAGCACATTCAGGGGTGGTAGAAGAACCTGCTTCAAAGTTATTCTGTTAGAAAGTCTCCATTTTCATCAACATTAATTATGCCTATCTGGAATGCCACTGCCTGGTTTAAGAACAAAATCCCAATAGTATCAGCTTCTAAAAGTCACTAATGCCAGTGTAAATGTTCTATTATTTCACCTTCATTTGTGTGGCTTTCTAAATGTTCTCTGTAACTCACCAATGTTCCTCCACCCGATTGCTCTATACTGGTGTCTATGGTAAGTTATTCATAATTGCAGTGTTAGATCATTGACACAGCTATGAAGTTGACTCCCTTGAATATGTTCAAAGCTGGTAATGTGCTTTTCCATTAATTTAAAACAAAACAAATACAAGTTTTGTACCAATGGTTGGCTTTGATTTCTGTCTCAATGCATTGTTTTGTGTCTGCTCTTCCCTCTACTTCAACCTCCACAACAGACCTGCACAACTTGGCAGTCGGTAGGGGCCAAAAATAAAGTAGGCTAAACTCCTGTGGGCTGCAGGTAGCACCTCACCAAACTACAACTCCCAGGATTCCATAGCATTGAGTTGAACTGATGCCAAACCACTTTATTTCTGTATTGTCGAAGGCTTTCATGGCTGGAATCACTGGGTTGCTGTAGGTTTTTAGGGCTGTATGGCCTTGTTCTAGAAACGCTCTTTACTGATGTTTAGCCTCTGAGGATGCCTGCCAGAGGTTCAGGTGAAACCTCAGGAAAGAATGCTTCTAGAACATGGCCATACAGCCCAAAAAACCTACAACAACCCCGCATTATTTCTAATGTGCCTTTTGACACTGAAATGGGGGAACCTGATCACATTACGGATTCTTATTTGAGCGGGCCCTGGTAAACTTACTTTTGGAATATAACTCCCAAATTGCTCCATCCAGCAAGATAAGTATCATGATGCCTTGGGAATTCTAGGAATTGTAGTTTCTACAATTCCTAGAATCCCCAATTCTAGGAATTGTAGTCTTACTGCTGCTTTGCTGAGTTTTCCAAAAGTGATTTTTACAAGCTCTGTAGGTCAGAAGAAATCAGACATCTCTCAGCAGGTGGCACTTACTATCTGATGGGGCCTGCAGTGCTCCAGTTTGAGGATTTGAAAGGGGGCAGAAGCTCACGTGTTTTATTTGTTTACTCCGGAAGTGTTTTCCTCTTATCAGCTGGTTTATTTCCTGGGGCAGAGAAAGAGTCTGTTCGCATGTGGTCCTGTTGCCACCAGCCCAAAAAAGGTGTCTCTTCTCCAGCAAGCACTTGTTACATCATTACTTTTTTTTACATCCTCTACATATTTTTTGTGGGCTGTCCAAAATCCTTTGGTATGTGGGCCATATGTTGTACAGGTGTGCTCTAGAATTTAATAGTTTCTTGATAACCAACTCCCTTTAAAAGAACTGAAAAGTTAAAACTAATGGTATACTTATATAATTTGAATTCTTTGGAACTGGGTTGTGAGTTTGGGTTTCAGATAAAACTCCCCTTATACATTCCCCCCCCCCCCCCCCCCCCGAACATGTTGTTCCCATAGTCATACACATGCAGTTAAAACAGGAAAGAAGAGCTGAATTCTTACTGCTGCTTTGCTGAGTTTTCCAAAAGTTGTGGTCTGGGGAGAAAGTTTTTATTAGTGCCAAACACATATCTTCACCATCTTGACTGTAGTCCAGGGAGAACGCGGATGAGCTCCCTCTATCAGCTCCAGCTCCCTGTTGCAGGGACATGAGAGAATCCTCTCACAAGGATGCTACAACATAAAACCATCCAGGCATCGCCTGGGCAACGTCCTTGCAGACGGCCAATTCTCTCTCACCAGAAGCAACTTGCAGTTTCTCAAGTCACTCCTGACACACACACACACACACAAAGTACCCCTGTAAAATGGCACTACCTAAAAGAATACTCCACCTTGTGCAACTGTGGAGCAGAACAGACAACTCCGCATCTGTATGCTTGTCTGCAATGTCCTGCCTCAAGTACAGAGAAAGAGATGTTTGAGGCTACGGACAAGACTGTTGCCCGTTTTTGGTCAAAAGATACTTAGCTGCTTGTGGTCCTATTTTTATAAGTTTTTAAGTAATGTATGCAATGCTTTTTATACAAAATAAGTACCCCTATATAATTGGGGTGTGTGTAGGTGGTTTGAGACTGAGGTGATTTGATAAAGGCTCCCGATTATGTATTAGTGACTGCAGTAGACTTTTGTGATTAGAGGCATAGAATCCCAGCAAAAATAGGGAAAACATGAATCTCTAATAAGTTTATATTAGAGTAACTCTATGGAAGTTGACAATGAGAGTTATACTGGAGGATCTAGAAATTCCTAGGGAGACTATATTAAATCTACAAAGATTAAAGATGCAAATGTGAACGGCTGATAGTACAAAGAATTTGAACTGCATACTTGATCTTACCAAAGTAAGTAACTATCGGAAGCAATGTCAGCCTTTTGTGGGTCTCAAAGTCCACTTTGCATTCAGTAGGAGGTTTTCTTGCTGGTTTCCAACTCTTGTGGACTAAGAGATTTAACATTCAGATAAAAGGAAATTCTTCCAATACATTTTAAATTTGATTGTAATGAGGGGAAGAACATGAACATGGCAGATTGGAACTGTCCCCCTCTTCTGTGTAGGGTTCAGAAAGGTGCCAGTGTTTCGGGAGACAATATTTTGTGTCTCTGTTGTGAGGAGTTTGACTAAAACTGTTCAAATCCTTCAGTTTTAACTAACGGAAATCCTTTATGTACATTTTTAGAGTAGATTAGTGAGTATAGAAATGTCAATTTTTTCTCCACTTTGACTTTCCAATCATTCAGCGGAATTACTGTCGTTTACTCAGCTCACAGACATGACTTCAAAGTATGTTCTTATTCTTTAAAGCAGTGTTTCTCAACCTTCCTAATTCCGTGACCCCTTAATACAGTTCCTCATGTTGTGGTGACCCCCAACCATAAAATTATATTCATTGCTACTTCATAACTGTAAATATGCTACTGTTATGAATTGTAATGTAAATATCCAATATGCAGGATATATTTTCATTCACTGAACCAAATTTGGCACAAATACTCGATAGGCCCAAATTTGAATACTGGTGGGGTTGGGGGGGGGGGGGATTGATTTTGTCATTTGGGAGTTGTAGATGCTGGGATATATAGTTAACTTACAACCAAAGAGCATTTTAAACTCCACCAACAATGGAATTGAACCAAACTTGGCACAGAGAACTCCCATGACCAACAGAAAATACTGGGTTTGGTGGGCATTGACCTTGAGTTTTGGAGTTGTAGTTCACCTACATCCAGAGAGCACTGTGGACTCAAAACAATGATGCATCTGGACCAAATTTGGTACAAATATTCAATATGCCCAAATGTGAACACTGGTGGAGTTTAGGGAAAATATACCTTGACATTTGGGAGTTGTAGTTACTGAGATTTTTAGTTCATCTGCAATCAAAGAGTATGCTGAACCCCACCAATGATAGAATTGAGGCAAATTTCCCACACTGAACCTCCATACCTTGAAGGCACTAGCTGGCGCAAGCCTCCCTCCATCCTTATGCACCCCCCCTTACCTGCACCATGCTGCCATGTGCTGAGCACGCCTGCTCCTCCCTCCCTGCTTGGAGTCTCAGAAACAGCCCTCCCATTGGCTGAGAGGCCGGCCAATCACAGTGGAGGAGGGCTTTTGGTGGGAGGATTTGCCACAAAGGAAGAGCAGGACAGGAGGAGAGATTTTCAACCTTCTCTGACAAAGGGGTTCCTAAGACCATCAGAAATATACCGTATATACTTGAGTGTAAGCCGACCTGAATATAAGCCGAAGCACCTAATTTTACTGGGAAAACATTGAGTATAAGCTGAGGGTGGGAAATGCAGCAGCTACTGGTAAAAATAGATACCAATAAAACTACATTAATTGAGGCATCAGAAGCTTAAATGCTTCTGAATATTTGCATAAAACTGAAATTTAAGATAAGACTGTTAAACTCTGATTAAATCATTATTCTAACTTTCTTCAGTGTAAATGTGGATACATATCCTTCCAATAATCGCCATAGTTTATTTTAACTATAGATTTTGGGGAAAAGGCTGTGTGTATATGAATAAGGAAAAGTGGGAAAGACTGACACCGAGAGAGGAGGAGAGGAAGGTGTGCACTGCGTGAGAGAGGAGGAGAGGAAGGAGAGCTGGGTTGCTGTGTGGAGGGGTGAGGGTTTTGGAAGGAAGGCATGGGCTGAAAGAAGCCCTTCTTTCAGCCCCATGCCTTTCCGCCAGGACCCTCAACCGAATATAAGCTGAGGGGCCTTTTTCAGCCTTAAAAAAGGGCTGAAAAACTAAGTTTATACTCGAGTATACAGTGCTCCCTCACTTATCGCGGGTGTTAAGTTCCAGGACCACCTGCAATAAGTGAAATTCTGCATATCAGGGATGCTCCCCTCCTCTCACACTCACTCAATCGGCTCCACTTCTTCCCTCCGGGGGCGGCTCTTCTTTCCTCCATGCCCACTATCTTCCTCCTCCTCTGCACCTCCCTTCCGGCCGAGGTTCCATAGCTATTGCTGCTCCAGAACCAGCAGATGAGGCACCTCGCTGCTAGGCCCCTGCAATGCCTTTGCAGCCTCCTCAATCACTCCAGAAGCGGATAGTCCCAGCGGAGGAGGCATCGCTTCTGGAGAGATTGAGGAGGCGGCGGAGGCATCGTGGGGCCCAAGCGGCGGCAAGAGGCCCGGGCGGCGATGAGGTGCCTTCTTTGCCGCTTCTGGAGCAGCAGCAGTCGTGGTGCCCGGTCCGGGCATGTTGGCGGGAAGGGAGGCGCCGAGGAGGAGGAAGATAAAGAGGACGAAGAGGGAAGAAGAGCTGCCCCTGAAGGAAGGAAGAAGAGCTGATTGAGTGAGAGTGAGTGAGAGAGAGGCACCTCATTTGGGGAGGCGGCGGAGGCATCGTGGGGTCCAAGCAACGGCAAGAGGCCCAGACGGGGATGAGGTGTCTCCCTTCCCCTCTCTCTCTCACTCAATTGGCAGTAAGGGAGGCGTCGAGGAGGAGGAAAGGAAAAAGGGCAAAGAGGCTGAGCCTATGGCGCTACTGCTTCCGCCACCGCCAGCCTGGCCTTGCGAGGTCTCCCAGATCTGCATCCAGAGCACAGTGGCGGGGCCTTTCTGCTCCGTGTTCCCCCGCTACTTGGACTGTACATTTTAAATTCATTTTTTTAAAAAACCGTGAAACAGTGAGTCCGTGAAAAGCGAACCGCAAAGTAGCGAGGGAACACTGTTTTCTGATGGTCTTTGCTGATCCCTCTGAAACCTCCTCACAACCTCCAGGGTTCCCGACCCCCAGGTTGAGAAACACTGCTGTATAGGCTATAGGCTCAATAACATTGAGGGCCTGGTCCAGATCAAATTATAGAAATTGTCACTTTTTATTGAAAACTGCACTGAACGCTATATGTCCACCTTTACAATAAACAAATACAGTAACGGTAACACACTAAAACAAAACATACTTCTGGTAGCCATTGGTTGTTTTTTGTTTGGGACAGCTTTTAAAACTCTTATCACAGAAACAGGAATGTACCCATACAAAGGCTCAGAATAGGCCATCTTTTTCAACAAAAAAAGGCGATGATTCACAAAAGACTATGAATATAACATGTAACTAGTTGATACAAATCTAATAGGATTTGTTAAAATCAGTCACATCTAATAACACATTTCTGAAGTGTCTTTGTATAAAATATCACATGAAGAAAAGAAGACTTCAATGTCTAAAAAAGTGGGTTTTGTTCATACAGTCTGACAAGTTACCATAAAAAGTGGTTTTTTTTCCTGAGACATAAGGAAATGCAACATTATTCTTGAACCCTTTCCAGCTCAAGACTTTTCCACTCAATAAAATAGCTGTGGATTTAAAACTGAGAAAAATATATCTGAGTATAAATGTGAGACTTAACACTTTTATTTTATTTTTTTGCATCGTCAGCGTGTGTTATTGAATGTACAGCTACTTTATTAAGTGTATCTTGTAGGAGAAGCATCGATTTCTGCAATTAAAAGGCAGCTAGTTAACACAGGCTTTTCTCTCTCCCTTGACCTACAATAGCTGTAGTTAAGCTTGAGTAGCATCCTTCCAATACATTAAATGGCCATATATAACTGCAACAAGCAAAACTCTCCACCTCTGGGTTATTTTTTTTCTCCTCAGCCTATGCAAGGAGGAGCCAGGTAAGTGAGGAAGGAAAGGGCTGAAGTCACATGATGGGTTTCCTCTTAATATAATGTAAGCTTTGTTAGGACTGTTGGACATATTTTAAGCAGCGGGTACATCAACCAGCTGCTATTCCTCCAAGGGACTGAGAAGAAATATACATTATTTTTGTGATTGATGTAAAGATGAAGGAAACTTAAACACACAATAACAGAAGCTGATCAGTTATGCATCATCAAATCCTAGTTTTCAGTGCTTCAGTAAGCAGGTGACTTCTTCTGGGTTTCCCCTCCCTCCCCCAAGTCTTGACTCCTATATATATATATATTTTGTAGTTAACACTGGAACATCGTGATGCGTCAGTCCAAAAGCAAACTTACAAATTTTGTATCAAATTCCTGTCAGTTTGTGTGTAATTACTCTTCTGTTTTTCCAATGTCTCTTGGTCCCAAATAGGAGTGTGTTTGAATGGTCTGCTATTGCTCGTTCGGATGTTCCCTGTTGTCCCCGTGTTTTGTGGGCTGGTTAGGAGATGGAGCTTGGGAAGGATGCGCCACTGTCGGAAGATTGTGGGTAACCGGAATCCCTCCCGGGATGATACCTTCCATAGCTGCCGGGATCCCTCCTGGAGTAACGCTCACCATGCCTGGTGGATATCTAGAAAGAGAGAGTTTCTGAATTACAAGACGATCAGTATGTAAACATTGTGTAAGAAGAGCAGATTATGAAGTAAGGAGAACAGCAACAATGCAAACAAATAGTCTCTTGAGAGAGCACTTTTATTCTTTACTAACCAACTACAGAATGGAACCCCTAGTGGTGCAATGGGTTAAACCTTTGTGCTGGCAAGACTGTGACCCAACAGGTCAGTGGTTCAAATCCGGGGAGAGCGGGTTGAGCTCCCTCTGTCAGCTCCAGCTCCCCATGCAGGAACATAAGAGAAGCCTCCCACAAGGATGGTAAAACATCAAACATCTGGGCATCACCTGGGTAACGTCCTTGCAGATGGCCAATTCTCTCACACCAGAAGCGACTTGAGGTTCTCAAGTTGCTCCTGACACACACACACACACACAAACGCTACAGAATAGAGTTTGTTCTGCTATACCAGGGGCCTCAAACTTTTTAAACAGAGTGCCAGGTCGCAGTCCCTCAAACTGTTTGAGGGTTGGATTATAATTTGAAAAAAGCACTTATGAATTCCTAAGCACACTGCACATATCTTATTTGTAGTGCAAAAAACACTTGAAAACAAAACAATACAATAATTAAAATGAAGAACAATTTTAACAAGTATAAATTTATTAGTATTTCAATGGGAAGGATGGGCCTGCTTTTGGCTGATGAGATAGGAATGTTGTTGTTTTTTGTGCTTTTCAAGTCATTTCAGGCTTAGGTTGACCCTGAGCGAGGGCCGGGTAAATGACCTTGGAGGGCCGTATCTGGTCCTTGGGCTTTAGTTTGAGGACCCTGTACTATATTTTGCCACAACAAATAGTGGGAAAACATCCAAGAAACTAACCAATATACTCCACTCTATAAATTTGTGGCTTGATTTACACTGACCTATATGCCAGGATCTGATCCCTGATTTTCTGGCGGTGTAGACTCATATCATCCAATTCAAAGCAGATAATCTGGGATCACATCCTGGCATAAAAGTCAGTGTAGATCCAGCCTTCATCAAATAACTGACCCACAAAGCTGGTATGACTTATCTATGGTACTGTATCTTAATTCTTCCCATCCCCTTCTCGAAGTACAGTAGGAAATGGTGAGATCACAGTACATCCTTGTAGATCTGCGGTTCCCAGCCACAGTCCATGGACCACCAGTGGTCACCAAAAACTAAAATATGGTCTGTGGCCTCACGGTTACTACACCACTGCAATGAGAGCAACTGGTCTTGCGAAACCTTCTTATATATGCCAAGGCACTGGGGATGTTGGGAGAGGAAACGATGACTACCCAACAAAGACATGATAACAAGCCTCCTGACTGCTTCTCCTCCTCCTCCTCCTTCCTCCCTGAGTGGAGCTGTTCCATGTGGCACCCGGAAGCGGGGGCAGCTTCGTGTCTTCATTTTTAGGTCTGTTCCTGGGGTTATTTGGGGTACTGATTCAAAAAATTGCATTGGATAGACCACATCAGCTGCAGAGTATTAAATATGGTTTATGTGGGCAAGAAGATGGCAATTACTGGGTGGCATATGTTCTGTATCAGAAACTAGAGCTGATGTGATCTATCCAATGCAGTTTTCTGAATCAGCACCCCAAATAACCAAACCGAATCTAAAGTTGACCAAAAACTGATTCGTAACCCTTTTGGTACAAATGTTAGAGTGGCCCCTGGTCAAGTGGTCCCTGGTCAAAAAAAGGTTGGGAGCCACTGTTGTAGAGCCTATAAGAATCCTCTGTTCTTTCTGCCATGGCACTTGTTTCTGGTCTTTTTGTATACCTTGATGGAGAAAGGGTGGTGGAAGGAACACGGTTGCCTTCCCCTCTCTGGAATAATCCTTGACTTATCCACGGGTTAGATCAAAATCCTTAAGTTTGGCCCCCAAACCTGCCCTCAAGGGTACTGTGCTTCCAATGTTTCTTTCCCCAAGCATCTTAAATCATGTTCTTTCAACACCTGCATGCTCAAACAGGAACGGCCGACACACTCCCAACAGCTTGTAGTGTCAACCATCAACGAATAACCCAAATGCAGACATACTTTCTTATACGTCTGTTTTAGTGAACTGAAATTAGTATCTCTAGAGTCAAGTTATATAACCAGCTCCTTTGGTGTTAATTCATTAAATTGTATAAGGGCAACTGAAACTTTGATTTTGAGGAGGCATCCTTTAAAGCAGAGTTTCTCAAACTGCTTCTCCAGTTGTTTTAGACTTCAGTTCCCACAATTCCTAACAGCTGGTAAGCTGGCTGGGATTTCTGGGAGATGAAGTATGGATGCTTTAACGCATGGATTTATTTATTTATCATGTCAGGAGCGAACCAAAACAGTTGTATTGCATTAAAAACAAACAAACAAACACAAAGTTTGCAGACTTGGTATTCTATTAAATGTCCTTTGACCAGTATTTGGCCACTTGGAGTGCCTCTGGTGTTGCCGCAAGAAGATCCTCCATTGTGCATGTGGCAGGGCTCAGGTTGCATTGTAGTAGGTGGTCTGTGGTTTGCTCTTCTCACTCGCATGTCGTGGATTCCACTTTGTAGCCCCATTTCTTAAGGTTGGCTCTGCATCTCATGGTGCCAGAGCACAGTCTGTTCAGAGCCTTCCAAGTCGCCCAGTTTTCTGTGTGCCCAGGAGGGAGTCTCATTTGGTGTCAGCCATTAATTGAGATTCTGGGTTTGAGCCTGCCACTTTTGGGCTCTCGCTTGCTGAGTTCCAGCGATTGTTTTTGTAGATCTTAGAAAACTATTTCTTGATTTAAGTCATTGGAGTGCTGGCTGATACCCAAACAGGGGGTGGGCCTTGGTCCTTTCACTATTGGTTGCTACTCCCCAACAGATTTTAGGTAGTGCAATACTGGCTAAACAATGTAATTTCTCCAGTGGTGTAGGGCGCAGACACCCCGTGATAATGCGGCATGTCTCATTAAGAGCCATATCCACTGTTTTAGCTTGGTGAGATGTGTTCCACACTGGGCATGCATACTCAGCAGCAGAGTACCATAGCACAAGGGCAGATGTCTTCACTGTATCTGCTTGTGATCCCCTGGTTGTGCCAGTCAGCTTTCGTATTATATTGTTTCTAGCGCCCACTCTTTGCTTGGTATTCAGGCAGTGCTTCTTGTAGGTCAGAGCACGGTCGAGGGTAACTTCCAGGTATTTGGGTGTGCTGCAATGCTCCAGTGGGATTCCTTCCCAGGTAATCTCAGCTTGAGATGCTTGTCTGTTCTTAAGATGAAAAGCACAATCAGCTGGTTTTCCATGTAATAGGCAGTAAGAGCACCTAGAGCTTCGGAGAGCTTCTGTTCAACTAAAGCCTGGATGTAGGACTGCAACTCCCAGTATTGTTCACAGTTGGCTATGCTGACTAATGAGAGTGAGGATCTGATAAGCCACATATTCCCCAGTCTTTTTCTAAGGAACATCATGGAGAATAGTGTGCTAGGACAGCTTATGGAGATGCTATAAAGAAAAACAAAACAATGGAACATACAGGCTTCATTAGTCTTCCGACTTAAGCCGGTAGTTTGGATTTCTAATTGATTCCTTAAAAAACATTCCCAATACAACTTGTGAGTTAGGATGTCTAAGTAATTTTAGTTGTGTCTGTCCTTAGGCTAACTAGTGAGGGGTTGATGGAATTAAAGAATTAAAAAGTTGTAAAAAAATTTGTTTTTGGAATAGATACTCTGCTGTCAATGTAACTTAATCTTTTCTGAAGAGCAAATTTTAAAACTGAAATTTAAAAATTATACAGTTGAATTGTGCATGTTTAGGTGACAATGTGGGCAAGAATGAATTCCCTTTGTAAGATAAGTGGGGAGCCCTCGGTGGCACAGCAGGTTAAACTGCTGAGCTGCTGAATGAAAGGTTGGCAGTTCGAATCCAGGGAGCAGGGTGAGCTCCCATTTTTAGCCTCAGCTTCTGCCAACCTAGCAATTTGAAAACATGCAAATATGAGTAGATCAATAGGTACCACTTCTGCGGAAATGTAACGGCGCTCCATGCAGTCATGGCAGCCACATGACCTTGGAGGCGTCTACGGACAACGCTGGCTCTTTGGCTTAGAAATGGAGATGTGCACCACCCCCCAGTCAGACATGACTAGACTTAATGTCAAGGGGAAATGTTTACCTTTACTAAGAAAAGTGGCTTGTAGTACTCAAGTGCCTTTTAAAAACTTGTGGTTAGTTGTGAACTAGGTAATAAAGAACTGCCTTTATATTGACTTTAAAAGCCACCTACTTCTGGGGACGTGGTAATATAAGGGTAACTAATTACTTTTAAACTAATTTTGTAGGCTCTTCCATGGCTGAAGGTCATGATTTAACAAAACACACAGCTAGTCTAGAAGTGTAATGGTTTTAGCTATACTTCTGTCCTGTCAATAATGCCAGAATGATTTTAAAGCTGGGGACACTTTCCAAAGTTTCCAAATTCCACTGGAACTATTTTTGTGTAGAGATGATCTTGCACTCCACGGTGCCCCAACTCTTGGGAATACATTGCTGTGGCTGTTAAATGTACAAGGGCAATGAAGAGATGAAAGGTGACACTGCCAATCTTTTCATCCCACTCTGACAGATTTGCATCTTCAACAGATTAACTTCTCACCACTGAAAAATGTATCACAAGCAAGGCCACATACTCTGAAGAGCTGATATTCTCTGCTAAGCTGAAGCTAAACTCCAGCCTCTATAAATCCAGGCATTTAAGAAACTGACACATTCTTTATAATTTTGTCCATTTCTGCTAATGAAAGAGGGGAGCAAGAAGCTACTTCACATTGATCCATACAGATTTTTTAAAAGATCTTACTAAATATGAAACTTTGACTTTTAGCTCCATGACCATTCTTTTTCTTTTTGTAAAGAAAAAATCAAGATTCCTTGGCTGACCACTCAATTTTTAACTGCCATCAGGTCAACTTCCCTTCCCTTCAAGGTGACTTATTATTTTTTTGTGTCAGGAGCGACTTGAGAAACTGCAAGTCACTTCTGGTGTGAGAGAACTGGCCGTCTGCAAGGTTGCAGCCCAGGAGACGCCCGGATGTTTTAATGTTTAACCATCCTTGTGGAAAGCTTCTCTTATGTCCCCACATAGGGAGCTGGAGCTGACAGAGGGAGCTCAACTGCGCTTTCCCTGGATTTAAACAAGCGACCTGTCAGTCTTCAGTCCTGCCGGCACACAGGTTTAACCCATTGCACCACCAGGGGCTCATTCTTATGAGACCGCTATTGTCCAGCTTTCACAACCACATACAGCAATGGGAAATGCAACCCTAACTTTAGTGTCCACTGCTGTATCTTGACACTTCAGGATCTTGACGTACTTACTTAGGTGACCCCTTGTAGTCTGGGGATGATGGTCCTCCTAGTGTAGTGTCTTGGCGATGGGTGTGTAGGTGGTTGTGGAGCCCTATTCTTGATCCACATGTTCTCCGAAGTGAGGACATTGGTTTCCAGGCGGAAGGCAGTCCTGGTCAGGGTTGGCTTGATGTGCTTCGTCTACTACGTTTCTCCCTTTCGCTTTCCATTCGTGCCTCTTTAAATTCCACAGCATTGCTGGTCACAGCTGACCTCCAGTTAGAGAGCTCAAGGGCCAGGGCTTCCCAGTTCTTGGTATCTATGCCACAGTTTTTAAGGTTGGCTTATTTCTTTATTTTTATTTATCGTGTCATCAGCAACCATACCATTGTATTATATTTCTAAGAGAACAAAACAAACAAACAGATAAAAAAATTCAAATTTTGCAAACTTGGTAGTTGATTAAATGTCCTTTGACCAGTATCTGGCCACTTGGAGTGCCTCTGGTGTTGCCGTAAGAAGGTCCTCCATTGTGTATGTAGCAGGGCTCAGGTTGCATTGCAAGATTGGCTTTAAGTCCATCTTTAAATCTCTTATTTTGTCCACCAACATTATGTTTCCCATTCTTGAGTTAAGAGGAGAGTAGCTGCTTTGGGAGACGGTGATCGGGCATTCGGACAACGTGACCAGTCCAGTAGAGTTGATGGCATAGGAGCATCACTTCAATGCTGGTGGTCTTTGCTTCTTCCAGTATGCTGACATTTGTCTGCTTGTCTTCCTAAGAGATTTGCAGGATTTTTCAGAGGTAACACTGATTTGTCACCCCAAAGGAGATTCATCAGAGAATGTAAGCTATTTATGGTGATTGTGTTGGTGTGAGTACTGTGCATCGTTGGGCAAGTAAGTTTAAAGATGTTGAGGTGACACCTTCTGCTGTCAAGATTTCAATGACTGCACGTTGCTTAAGTCGCATTGACCGACCTTCTGTGCAGGGCTACATACTTCGCACTTTAACAACACAACCGTTCAATGCTAAGACTTCCCACCAAAATGAAACTGTAGAGGAGTGTCTACTGAACAAGCCAGTAGCTGGCGCATATCAGTACTGCCATCTGTTGAGGAGTTTTATTTATTTATTTACATCACTTATATCCTGCCCATATCAGCCCGCAGGAGACTCAGGGTGGTCTACATATTGGCATAATTCGATGCCATCAATACAATACAAAAGCAAAAACAATTAAGTGCATTTAGACAAAAAAGACAGTGCAATAACAGTTTAAAAAGAGCTATATCCTCTCATTCCAATCCTCATCCGTTTCATCGTCTTGGCCGTTCCTGGGTCATTCTCCATCTCAAGCTTGACTATTCCGGGGTTCCGAATGCCTGCTCGAAGAGTCAGGTTTTCACTCTCTTACGAAAGGTCAGGAGGGAGGGGGCTGATCTAATATCCCTAGGCAGGGAGTTCCACAGTTATCAAGGTGGAGGCATTACTTTTTATTCAACCCTCGTAATCCGTTCACTTGTCTGTTAGGCCAGTCTTAGATTATAAATGGTTAAGATGTAAAGGGACAATATGAACACAGGAAACACTGACATCTTGCATTTAAATCCAAATGCAATGTGTTACAGAAGACAGGGAGAGAAACTGGATTAAGACAGGGTGGGGAAAATGTTGTTGGGCTGCAATGCCTAACAAATTCAGCATTGGCAATGCTGACGAGGACTGACGGGTACTGAAATACAATCGTGGCTGTATGGCTGCATGAGTCCCACCCTTGATGTATAAGAACCAAGTGAAGGAGATGATCAGCTTACTGTCATGTAGCGGTGTTCTCACTGCAATAAGCCTGGAAAGTGTTAACGTTTCTGCAGGAATACCAACTATCAGAGGAAAAGAAGGGATAATGGGTCGAATGAAGACTTGTGTCATAGCAAATCTCTTCATTTTTAAGACCATCCCTTGCAAATTTGTCACTGAGATAAAATAGCAGTTCTAACAACTCAGTTTGTCATATGATGTAAGATTATAACATTTTTTCAAATGAGTGCAGTGCTAATTCATCCAGGTAATCAGACTCTGGAAAAGTTATTACCATTCTTAATAGTTACTCATACTGTACCCTGTCCTGTACCCCTGCCCAACAAAATATGCCTTCCTTAGGAATTTCCTAAGTCCTCGGGCAATTCTAGGCTCCCTGGTGGTGCAGCGGGCTAAACCGCTGAGCTGCTAAATTTGCTGACTGAAAGGTTAGCGGTTCGGATCCGAGGAGTGGAGTGAGCTCCCACAGCTTCTGCCAACTTAGCAGTTCAAAAACATGCAAGTTTGAGAAGATCAATAGGTACCGCTTCTGTGGGAAGGTAATGGTGCTCTGTGCAGTCATGCTGGCCAAATGACCTTGGAGGTGTCAATGAACAACGCCAGCTCTTTGGCTTAGAAATGGAGATGACTACCACTACCCAGAGTCAGACACGACTAGACTTAATGTCAGGGTAAACCTTTATCTTTACCGACAGGCAATTTTATGGTATTCTTCTACCATGGTTGTGTTGGAGGACCTAGAGAGGACACCTCCAAAGGAATTTTCTAGATCCTCCAGGATGACTATGGTAACTTTTGGAAGACGCCATTCAATTCAATAGAAGTTTCCTCTTATCCGGTTTCCTGTTTCGATGGTAAATCCAGGAACATATCCCGCATGGATACAGAGGTCATACTGTATATACATACAGGCATATTCAGGCAACTATAATTATATTTTTCTTGGCACTACTACACTGGTAAAAAAAAATTCAGTAGCACCTTGGAAATTTTCTCTCTCTCTCCAAATAAATGAGGTAATTCAAATTATCTCCTAGCAACTCCTTTTGTCATGTTAAAAGAGGAGATTACAATGGGTAATTTAGGGAAATTCACCTGAAACTCTAAAAAAAGGCATTTCAGAGAAGCACAGTTTTAATTGATATTGTTTCGTTATAAGGTAAAAATGTGCAATGTGAGAACTTGTGAGATGACACCTCAGAACTGTCTGTAATGTTATGGATAGAATAAAGACGTGTGTGTGTGTATATATATTTGAGGGCTGGGGGAAGAAGTTTTCATGACACCACTGTTGAAGAAATACCATCTTCTGAGAAAGGTTAGCATTTGTGTGACTCATTCTTTTAGCTCCACAGTTGCATGCAGAATTCCAGAGAGAGAGAGAAAGAAAAAAAAAGATATTCTTTCCTCCATCTTACCTGTATGTGGCACCATTGAGCTCTGGATGAATGGCTTGCTGATCTATTACTGACCAAGGAGCTGTTGTGACAAAAAATTCCTTGTTCACACAGTTTCGTAGGCTTTCAGGGATGCGACCTGAGATAGGAATAATTCAAATTTATAATTTTCATTCAGGCCCCAGTTGATCATACTGAAAAGCAACAAGATACACCCAACTTGTTCTTTTTCTATTGGAAGGGGGATAGGCAGAAAACCCTTCAGTCCCTGCCAAAATCGTGGAATTTGCTCATACTCTGACACAACTCCTAAGGCCAAAGAGAATTGTTTTGAAAGGCCTTTTATTGAATTCAGCCATTTGTCCAACTGCAGTTAATTGTTTCCTGGTTGTTCTGCAAGTTCACTAGGAAGAAGAAGATTTATTAATGTTTGTTATGATTATTAATATTGCTATTCATATTGTTATTTAGAATTTTTTATTAGGATGTGAGTGGGAACATCAAGCTGCTTCAGGGCAGAGACAGGAACAGGAACAAGTATCCATCAACTGCAATGGTTGCTGCCTGGTAAATGGGGATTGGGGGACTTTCACAGCCCCTAAGTTATAGATTTGTAACTGCAATAGAGAATTGGGGCACAATTATTTGAGTTTTCATCATCATCATCATCATGGTCAGAATCCGCCATGGCCGGAGGTTTAGCACAGCTGGTAAATCATCAGCAAATATAAGATCTATCAACCAAAAGCTCGCAAGTTTAAAGCCCCAGGTTGGTGTGAGCGGCCAACTGTTAGCCCTAGCACATTGTTTACCTAAGCAATTCAAAAACAGCTTTAGCTGTGATTGGAGAAATTAGGTACTGCTAAAAAAGCGGGGGAGGTGTTTTATGACGCCATAAAAAGAAGGAAGATCAGGGAATGCTGGGTGACCAAAAGGAAGAAGGAAGTCCTGACGGCTCTTCGTCACAGAGGATGGAGCAACAGCACCCCCTCGACTCAAGCCCAATCTTCCATGGCACCTCCTGTTCTGATCTGTCTGTGTATTGTCTATACAAAGCGGCATTGAATGTTTGCCGTGTATGTGTACTGTAATCCGCCCTGAGTCCCCTTCGGGGTGAGAAGGGCGGAATATAAATAAAGTGTTGTTGTTGTTGTTGTTATTGGTGTATCTTTTCCCTAGTCTGGGATCGAAGGGAGCTTACCATGGTTGAAACAAACATAGCTAAATATTCACAGTTTAACAAAGTTATAAGGGGCCATGGTAATGTAGCGGGTTAAACCACTGAGCTGTAGAACTTGCTAACCAAAAGGGTGGTGGTTTGAATCCACGGAGCGGGGTGAGCTCCCATCATTAGCCCCAACTTCTGCAAACCTAGCAGCTCAAAAATATGCAAAACGTGAGTAGATCAATAGGCACTGCTCCACCAGGAAGATAACGGTGCTCCATGCAGTCATGCCAGCCAAATGACCTTGGAGGTGTCTACGGACCACACCGGCTTTTTGGCTTAGAAATGGAGATTGGACTCGACTAGTTGGACTCGACTAAACTTAATGTCAGGGGAAACCTTTAACTTTACTAACAAAGTTAAGTAGCTATCAAAAAATTGAAGGCTAGTTATAAAAAAATGATCTATTAATAAAGTCCAGCACATAATACATGGCGTGTTTCCCCTAACAAATTAATTCTCAAAGGTTTCTGCTGGAATAAAAAGATTTCCACCTGCTAGCAGAAAGACAGCAAGGTCAGTTGAACCTAAGGTCATTTGAAAGTCTAGTAGCAGCCATGGAGAAGGCTCTCTCTTGTGTTCCCATCAGATGTATCTGCAAGATTGATGGGACAGAGAGCAAGGACTCCCTAGAACAATGGTTCTCAACCTGTGGGTCCCCAGGTGTTTTGGCCTACAGCTCCCAGAAATCCCAGCAAGTTTACCAGCTGTTAGGATTTCTGGGAGTTGAAGCCCAAAACATCTGGGGACCCACAGGTTGAGAACCACTGCCCTAGAAGATCTTAAAGACGTGGGTGGGTTCTTACCAGATAATATAATACAATGTAACCTATTTTTTGTTCCTAGATTATATATGTCATTTCTGATTTGGTTCTACTATAAAATCATGGGAATCATGGGCAACACATTTTGCTATAGTTTTTCAATGAATATCTCATAGAGTCTCGACCAATTCAACATAGTTTGTTGCAGCCACAAAACCAAGTTTCTGGAGTAGAACAACTACGTTCAAAGTAAGTACTGCACAATTAAACAGGAAATAATACTTTCAAACCAGGAACAGATTTTTTTTTTCAAATTTTGTTACATAGTTTAATCTTTCAAATAATCTGGAAATTGAGCTGTGTTGCAATAAGGGAGTTATGTACCCCTTGTAATTATGTCAAGCAGCACTTATTCTGAGCAAGGGGCACAGCAAAGAAAACATCTGAAGTGCTCTTTATTTATAAATGCCATAGCATACAGTATGCCCCCTATATCCACGGGATTGGTACCTGCAGTTTCCTTTATCCACATCCAATGAAGTATGCCCTCTTTCAGCATTTTCTAGGCTCTCCAGCATAGCTCGATTGCTCTCTTGGGCTAGAAGTCCTTCATTTCAATAGTGTTTACTATTATCTGAACTTTGCATATACATGCAAAGTTCAGGTGTGTGGATATGGGGGTTGTACTGTTTACTGTATAGGTGTGGATGTAGAAGTACGAAGTGTTTATACTGTGTTAACTTGAATACATTCAAGTAACAGTATGTTCAAAATATGAGCGGAATGTGCATCCCTCCAGCTATTGCTGGACTATATTAAGCATCCTTCATGGGATGATGAGAACTGCAGTCCAGCAAAATCTGGAGGGATGCACATGATTCACTCCTACTTTAGGAATCCAATATCATTAATGTGATTTGCATATCCAATAGTACGAAATTGAGTGGTGAGACCAGGGAGATGCTTATCCAAGTGAAGAATACACACTTCACTGTTTGCTAATGAACTAGTGTATAAGGAGAATATTTACTCCTGTGGCTCAATTTAGTTGTTTAGCACCAGAGAGCTTTACAACTCACCAAGCTCTGTGGATGATAGAGAATCATGATGTATATGTATGGCTGACATAGATAGAAACACAATTTGAGACTGATTCAACGAATCGTATTAACCAATTATCTGAGTTAAATGTTACATCTGCATAACAAACATGCACCTAATTCACAGAAGCAAAGGAATTTGCTTGCTAAGTTAGTTGATATATGTTGCAGACCTGTACAGATGAGATTATTTAATGAAATGCATATAGTGAAGTACTGCCCAGGAGGAATGAAAATATATCTGTCCCTTATTGCAGAACTCACTTTCCTCCTGTAAGCCTCTCACGCATATTGACATGCGGAAGCTAATGGGGAGTTTTCGGGGGGGGGGGGGGGGGATCAAGAGGCATCTCTGTTGTTCTTCTTCTTCTTCTTGTTGTTGTTATTATATTTATATGACACTTTTCTCTCTTAACAAGGCTATATCCCTGCAACCACTTGTACAACAATGATGCCAATCTACAATGACCCCCTAACAATATTTTATCATAGTTAGATGCTTCTCCTAAATCCCAAACCCTTTATTTATTTACAGTATTTATATTCCGCCCTTCTCACCCCGCAGGGGACTCAGGGCGGATTACAATGTACATATACATAGCAAACATTCAATGCCATAGACACATAACATATATAGACAGACACACAGAGGCTATTTAACATTCCAGCTTTTTCATGAGGGTATTCTGGCCCCCTGGGGAGCTGTCGCTTCACAATTCATTTGTGACACTAATGAAGTACTTCCTCATTCTTTGCATGCTTGCTGGAGATTTTTATGGCCTCGTAAATTAGCCTCCACGCATAAGCAGTACCTAAATTTCCTACTTGACATATGCAACTATCTTTCAGGCTGCAAAGCTCGACAGCAAGCTACACAAATTGGTTGGAAGCTCACTCCAACCCGGGCTGGCTTTGAACTCATGACCTTTTGGTCAGTAGTGATCTTAATGTAGCTGACGCCCAGCCAGCTGCGCCACAGTCCTGGTGCTGACCAGTAAGCAATTATTGGTGATGGATGGGGGAAACTATGAGCTGAATTTTGTAGGGAGTATTGCATAAGGGAGGTAGGGAGTTCTCTCTGAAAAACCTTAAAGAGTCCAATACTTTAAGTATTGTACCTGCACTGACAGGAAGCCAATCATAATGCTGAGCATTTCTGAACCTATGCAGTGTTTACGTGAAAACCGCACCCTAGATATATAGTGCTGACAAATAGACTTCAGACAACAGGTTGCACTTCCCACATGGGGGAACCACTAGCAATCAGAATTCTGGGTTGGTTTCCTGGTGCTAACAATCACATTTAAAGCAATCCACAGGGATCTCAACGGCTATACCTGTAATCGCTCGGCGTATCTCTGTTGCAGCGGCTTCTCTCATCTCCAGTGAGGCCTGTTCACTGTACCAAGCGGTGTGTGGTGTACAAATTAAATTAGGAGCATCTTTCAGAGACCCTTGAGCAAAGCTACAGGGAAAAACAACAAAGGAGTACAGACCATAAAATAAATACCTTCACAGAGCATTCGATTTTCCCCTTTTCGTATGGCCCTACTCAACTTGAAGAGGGCTTGCTCTATGCACGGGTATGGATAACTGGGCATACTGGTAGTGATGCTGATACACACTGGGCCCAGTTGACAGGATTGATGGGACTGAGTTCCGCTGATGGGAAGCAACTGGCTGACAGTCTACCTCTTTTTATGTGAGAGATCTCTGATGTGAGGGAGAACTGCCACAGGGACCCTGATCATGCCCGTCACATCAGAGATTGTTCACAGAAAGGGATGCCACTGTCAGTTAACTGATTTCTGAGAGAAATATTGATTACAGTAGCTGCTTCCCAGTAAGTGAGGATTAGGAAGATTTGCAAAGAATTCAAAGCACTGTAACTACAATGTTTATATTAATTCCAACTGGCTTTTGGCCCAGGCTATCATCATCACCATCTTCACCCAGCGTGCATCACTACCAGTGTGCCCAGATATCCATCTTTATTTCTATTTCAAGACGGCTTACAATAAGTGACACAACCCAATAAATTTAAAGACATGACAAATGAAAATTTGAGAAACAATTAAATATTTGTGCCATTGATACAAAAGTTACAATAGTTAAGATACAATAAAAACTTATACAATTAAAATAACATTTAAAACTAAATACCCTCCCCAGTTGGTAGACCTGGGATTTTTCAGTCCATAATATGCCATCTTGTGGTACTCTGAGGAAAGGCAATATATAAAGGTACTATATGAAATATTTTTGACTTTTATTGTTGTTGTTATTACTATTATTTTATACACTACACAATTAGTACACAGCAAACAAGATCACTCTGTATTGGATCACTTTCCAAGTGTTCTGGACTATGTGATGTATCAGCGGATAATGCGGATAAGTCCCAGAGGAGTTCAACGTATTCATTTTCTTTAAATTATTATTATTATTATTATTATTATTATTATTATTATTATTATTATTATTAATAATAATTTAAACATTTAAAACTAAATATCCTCCCCAGTTGGTAGACCTATACCAATGGTTAAGCTATTGGCCATTAATGGAAAAGAAAAGCACGGGATTATGATTTTGGCAAATGGTAGATTTGCATGAAGCCCAACGAGTGGATCAACGACAAATCGGATAGAATACGATATATAATATAAAAATACAGTGAACTCTTGGTATCCACAAAGGTTTGGTCCTAAGGACCTCTATCTCTGGATATCAAAATCTGTGGATGCTCAAGTCCCATTACACTATGTAACATTTTTGCTCCTGGGTTATGAATGTCATTTCCTAATTGGTTCTATCATAAAAACATGGAAATGTATTAAACTGAAAACAATAATAATAGTAATAATAATAATAATAATAATAATAATAATATTGTTTTTGCGGGACATCCTGCAGCACATTTTGTTCTAGTTTTTCAATGAATATTTCATTGTGTTTCAATCAATTCAACATAGTTTGTGGCAGCCATAAAATGACATTTTTGGAGTAGTACAACTACTTTAAAAGTAGGTACTGCAAAATTAAGCAGGAATAACATTTTTAAACCAGGAACAGGTTTTTTTTCCCCAAATTTTGTTACACCATGTTATACGCAATGGTATAGTAAAATAGTGTCTCTTACAAAAAAAAAAGTAAAATCTAACAGCTTTTAATCTATATATACCCCAAGCTGTGCATGGTGAAATCTGGAGATGAATATTCTGTGGATTTGGTCAACTGTAAATATTCTGACCCACAGAAAATCAGTAAAGGACAATGGGGAGATAAGTAGTTGCAGTCAAAGGAGATGGAGCAGCAACTGGAAACGATGGGAATGTCTAGTAGCAAAATGAATGTGCAGACTTGCTGACTACTTAGTTGCTTCTTGAGTAGGCCAGAATCCTCCTATAGCTATCCCTGTTATAAATGCTGTTATGTGCATCACCATAGATGGAGCTTCCTTAAATATGATCTTCAGAGGTGGGTGAGGAGTTGGATCAACAGTCATACAGCAGAAGAGTTCAACTGTGTGAGACGCCATGGGAAGGTTGAACAGAGCAATATTAACAATGGTTAGGTTATCCTTAAAACATTGCTAGAAAGTTTTGCTATAATTTATTTTTGGACTGGTTCTTGAGATCCTATGAGGCATTCTCGGTTCTAATTTCAATGGCTGGAGGATTCTGCTTAAACAGGTACTCAAATGATAGAACCAGAAGAGCAAGGCACCCTCAATTCAAATGAGGTAAGGTATTAAATTCTTTGTGAGTCTGTTTCCTAATTTTTAATAATTCAATGGAATAGATGTTATCAATGTTGCAACAGTTTACTAGGGAATATCCAGATTTTTTTAAATAAATGATGCAACAATTTCCTAGAGATTCCCCCTTAAACTGCAGAGGAACAATGAAAATTTATTTTTCTAGTCTCTGTGTTTTGAATCCCAAAAGGCAGCATGACCAGCACCGGTCCAAGAAGGAAATCATTTCAAGCTCTAGCTTGTACCGTGTGTATCCGACAATTTTCTGGACTCAATTCAAGGTGCAGGTTATTATCTACAAAGTCCTATACACTTCGGGTCCAACCTATCTTTGAGACCGCATCCCTTTCTATAAACAATCATGAGCTTTGAGATTGGCAGGGGAGAACCTTCTTTCGGTTCCACCACCATCTCAAGCGTGGTTAGTGTGGGCGAGAGAGAGGGCCTTCTCTGTGGTGGCTCCCTGGATCTGGAATACCCTCCCAAAAGAGATTAGGTTAGTCCCCACCCTTGACTCCTTCCAATCCAGCCTAAAAACATGGATTCTTAAGCAGGCTGAAATGGGTCTATCTGAGGTTGACACTTTGGCACTTTAGTTGTGAATTGAAGGCAACTAGCTTTAACTACAGGTGGTCTGCTTTTTACCCTGTGTGTTTTTGTTTTTATTTTATTTGATGTGTTAATAGTGGTTGTTTTTATAACTTTTATGTGATATTGTTTTTATATTCGTGTGCCGTTTATGTTAAATACTACACTTGTTGTGCCTTGCAAGCTGCCCCAAGTGCCTTTTGGGAGATGGTAGAGTTATAAATAAAGATGATGAGGAGGATAAGTGTCTAAGACTGTGTGATGTATCAGCAAATAATGCGTGCAGATCCCAGTAAAATGCTAGTTTTGTCAGCGCCGATTGTGTTTAAGTGCAGGCCAAGGTCTTTAGGCACTGCACCTAAGGTGCTGATCACCTCTGGGACCACCTTGACTGGCTTGTACCAGTCTTTGCAGTTCAATCTTTAAATCCTCATCTTGTGTCAGCTTTTCCAGTTGTTTCTTTTCAGTCCTGCTGTGACCTGGGATTGCAACATCGACAATCCATACATTGTTTTTTTAACACAATCAGGAGTATTGTGCTCCAGAACTCTGTCAGTCTGAATTTGGAAGTACCATTATTATTATTATTATTATTATTATTATTATTATTATTATTATTATCTTCATGATGTTTCCACGATGGCAAATGTAGAACCACTCTACAATGTTTGGCAGCATAAAACATGCTATAAAAGTCCAACTTACCTAAATGGTTCTGATTCGTGAACATCTAGTGCTGCCCCTCGTATCCTTCCTTCCTTCAGGGCTTGGGTTAAGGCCTTTTCATCCACCAGACCACCACGGGCTGTGTTTACCAAAAATGCTCCTTGTCTCATCTGTTGGGGCCAGGAAAAAAAGGAAGTGCATTCTAGCATCTTTTTATGACTCTATGCATCTATGGAGCATCAGCACCATTTCCTTATGTAGCCGAAGCAGCTTCAAATGGCACATCTCACTCCTAAGCACATACTGTAATGGCAAGTCTCGATTATTATTATTATTATTATTATTATTATTATTATTATTATTTGCAACATAATAACAGAGTTATTGTATCTTAGCAGCGAAACCCTAATGGATAATTCTACATTGGGGCTAGTTTTAGATCAATCAAGATGGAAGAAACCAGAACACCACAGGACACCAACATGGCCCATAAACTGAAAAAAGCAGAAATGTTATTTCCTGAAAAGAAAATGCTCCTTCAAGTACAGATTTTATCCAGGGTAAGGGGTCTTGAAGCAGCTTATTCTTCTAAGCACATAAAGAAGAGCCATGTTGGATTGATCAAAGGCCTTTTCCAGTCAACCATTCCATTAATGCAATAGAGTAGAACAGACAACTTTGCATCTGTATGCTTGTCCATTGTGCCCTGCCTCATGTACAGAGGAGGAATTGTTGGAGGCTACAGACAATGCCGTTGCTGTTGCTCGTTTTTGGTCAAAAGATATTTAGCCGCCTGCATACCTTCTATTTTATCAGTTTTATACTAATTTATGTAATGCTTTTGGCAGTGTGAATTTACTTCAAGCAGAGTCACTTTTTGTATAAGCTACTTGGCATGATATAAGAGTCTAGAGTTGCTGAATTTATCAACTCCTGAGGAAGGGGATTGCTTTCCCCGAAACAGGGTACAAAAATACCCGGGCACCCCTGTTGAATGCCATTTGGACTTTTCCTTTGAAGACTTATTTTGAGAAGCAGTGCTCCATTTTCACTGGACTTGAGTTGGATCCTTTCCATGAAGATTGTTTTGAGAGTGGCGCTTCATCCTCCTTATTGTCTTCAGTTTACATATAGCCTCATGACTCAATGCTTACTTTGTTTATATGACTTTTCTTATTGAATGTATCCCTGAAGCCTATATACAGTGGAATCCTTATCCAGACCTAGAACTGTTACGTTTGAGAGCGGCTGCTCCTTTTGATTTTGCTGTGTACCACTGAATTGAGCTATGTACTGGGGATTTTGGTAAATGGAATACTATATGCTCTTTTGATAATACACTTTGACATTACGCATAGATTGTTTTGTGTCTGTGCTGATACCTTACAAGTACTCTGGGATATTGTGTAGTAGAACCTCATAATCAGGACATGAGGGCAAAATCTTTTTCACTTAAATAAACACAAATTTAGTATTGTTTGGGTGTAGCACTAGCTTAAGTCCTGCCTCTTCCTGTCTTCTCCCACAGAGGAGACACTATCACCTATGCCATAAGGCATGCAATCTACTTGCAGTCAATCTACTTGCAGTGATGCAAATAGTAGAGGTGTGCAATTTGGCCAAAAAGTATGCCATTTTGGGGACCTCTCATTTTGTTTACCAGGAAGTTACTCGAAAGGGGAGGGGTTTTGCCGTTTTCATTCGGCGAAGATTCGGCCCATTTACTACAATGGGAAACTTTAAAGGCTCAATCCTCAGCCATTTTAAAGCCTATCTGCATGAAACCTAACTCAGTTTTAGACCCCATTTACAACTGTCAAGTTTCAAATGAATTCACCAATCTATTGACTTCTTAGAATTTAGAATTTTTAGTTTTAACTATAACATTTTTAAAAAATAAGACAAACCGTAAGAGAGGGTTCTGGAAATTGTAGTCACCGGTTGTGTCCATTCTCAGCCAATCAGAGCATGGACACAACCAGGCTTTTTATTGGCTGAGAAACAGAGAGAGAGAGAGAAAAACTTCAACTCTCATCATGCTCTGAGATGAACTTTTCAATGCCTGTCCTATGCAAGTGCTGCTGGGAAAGCAAATTCCCAGGGCCCTCTCTGGAGGAGGAGGGAACTTTCCAAGAAGAAATGGATGGAGGCTGCTTCTGCAAAAGATCCCTCCCTCAGATATATTGCAGACCTAACTTCTCCTTCTCCAGAACTGATAAAATCTGTCTCTCTTAATACATTTTTCTGGGCTTTGCAGCTCTCTCTTCACTGTTCTGTTTTCGGATATTATAGCAAACGGACCACCGAATATTACAAATAATTTTTGTTCAAACTGATTCAGGCCCAAGCCTAGCAAATAGACTTTTTGGAAACCTTTGCTATGGTAAAGACAATTCCCATCACTGAATAATCTTTTATGGCTGCATTAGCTATTTACATGGATGCTTTGAGTCCTCAAGGTGCTTTCCTAGGTTCCTAAATGCTGTATGAGGAATATTATGCTAAGTGCCCATTTGCTTCTTATTTATGTGCTCTCTGTACAGAATAGAGGTAATTAAGTTAACTGCAGAGCACAGGAGGAAAACTGCAGGGCAGAAGCAGATCCACGGGGATTTTTCAGATTTTCAGAAATGAGCTTGATTTTGAAAGGATTTACCCACTGCTGAACTAGGGATGAAAGAACATTTGAGGGCTGAGCTTTCGTTTGGCAGACACAATGCCCAGTCGTTCAGCTGCCATTTGCCCTGGCCATAGTTGAGTAACTATTTTTGGCTGGGTCTGTTCATAGAATCATAGAATCAAAGAGTTGGAAGAGACCTCATGGGCCATCCAGTCCAACCCCCTGCCAAGAAGCAGGAATATTGCATTCAAATCACCCCTGACAGATGGCCATCCAGCCTCTGCTTAAAAGCTTCCAAAGAAGGAGCCTCCACCACACTCTGGGGCAGAGAGTTCCACTGCTGAACAGCTCTCACAGTCAGGAAGTTCTTCCTAATGTTCAGATGGAATCTCCTGTTATTGATTACTTCTATCTCTCCTTTCCCCCCAGATTGGAACTCAAACTGGTTACAACAAATTAGAAAACACATCATTAAAAATTCACAGGATATGATAGTTAGAATAAGATTAAAAATCAAAACAGTTATATTATAGCATCATCTTTGCATTATAGCACTATGTGTGGTACTATGGATGGTGAGGAGGGATTTGTGGACATAAGATTCCTAAATTTGTTTACTAACAACCAGTTCACTTCCACAACCTGTTGGAGAATGATGGTCTAAATTGGACACGGACATACGCCATCACAACTTTCTTTTTGGTAACTGAAAAGCTGGAATTCACTGTTGAATGGGAAACAAAACCTACCTTTTCTCAGCAGCTGCTTCCAAAATTTTTCTGTCGTTGGATACACAGCAATACTATAGTCTACAGTAGTGGTTCCCAACCTTTTTTTAAAAACCAGGGACCACTTGACCAGGGACCACTTTGATGAGGGACCACTCTCCAACATCAGTACCAAAAGAGTTACGAATCAGTTTTTGGTCAACTTTAGATTCAGTTTGGTTATTTGGGGTGCTGATTTAGAAAATTGCATTGGAGAGACGACATCAGCTCTAGTTTCTGATACAAAACATATGCCATCCAGTAGTTGCCATCTGCTCACCCATAGAAAACCATATTTAATAAGCCTTGCCACTATAAGAGGGTTTCGCGAGACCAGTCGTTCTCGTTGCAACAGTGTAATAACGGTAAGCTTGCGGACCATATTTTTGGTTTTTGTGGACCATTTGTGGTCCACCAACCACAGGTTGAGAACCACTTGTCTACAGGAAATCCTGCATGCTGCTGTACATTCAGCTACAGAAAAATACTGTATAATACCACATGGTAGTTGCCACCACATAACAGTCGCGTAATTTAGGCATCCCCTAAATTGGTAATTTTCTTTCCTCTCATAATCATCACAGTCTTAATTCATTGCTGGTGGATGATCTGCATATAGTGGGTCTGCCGGGAGAAAGGTGCCATAGAAATTCCTGAAATAAATAAATAGTGTGGCCAGCATAGGAAGACAAGCTTCCCCGCTGTAAACAGTCTAGCTAGTGTGAGGTGTCTTGCTGCACTAAACAAATAACAGCTTTGCCCAGGCACTTGTTCCCCTTTCAGCTATGGCACTTCACTCAGCTGAGTCTGAAAGCAATGGATTGAAGAGAGTGACAATATCAGCCGAGTTAAGCGGGGGCAGGTGCTTGGACAAAGCTGATGTTTGTACAGTGCAGCAAGACACATGGAGATTGAAGCATGGAGTCTTTCCCACACTAGCTAGACCAGGCATAGGCAAACTTTAGCCCTCAAGGTGTTCTGGACTTCAACGTCCACAATTCTTAACAGCTGGTAAGCTGGCTGGGATTTCTGGGAGATGAAGTCCAAAACACCTGGAGGGCCAAAGTTTCCATATGCTTGGGCTAGACTGTTTACAGCGGGTAAGCTGTCTTCCTCCGCTGGCTATACTGTATGAAATTCACCTGCTAGCAGCACAATTTATTTCATCGCGTAATAGTCGCACCCTTTTTTTGGCCAAAGAAGCGTAAAAATATTACTATTACGTGATGAAATATGGTAGGTTTATATTTTTCTGCTGCTCCCCAGGTAATTACTGAGTTCATGAGGCTACAGATGAGAAAAGGTGGTGTTAGATGATGGATAGGATGGGACACTATTATAGCTACATCTCTCAATGCAAGATCATAGCTGAAACGTTTTACAAAGCTTACTGGTGTAAGCAAATCTGGTACACAGACAAGACTGCAGCCAATAAAACAGATAAAGAAAAACAATCCTTCATTTGTAACATTTTGTAACATTAGGATCTTTGTAATTTATTGAGAGCATTAAAATGACCCACTGAAGTGGCATCACCTGATGTATAATGTGCAAAAATACAGATGGACAATTAGCTATAACTCTCAACTATCCCAAAGGTAAAAATACATACAATTACTCTTTGCATCTGCTTGATAGTACAGCTCTGCCAAGAGGAATTCCAGCACTCCACAGTCACATCTTCCTAGACTGCAGTTGGAGCCCGATAGACAATCCCACCTTCCATTAGGAATTACCTGCTTAATCGTAAAGTCATTGATAAGGTGGTGATTGTGTTCATTGAGGTTACAGTGTAAGGACACACAGTCACTCTGGTAGAGCAGATCCTGGAGGGTGTAGACCCGCTGGACGCCCAGGGACCTTTCTATGCCATCCTGCAGGTATGGGTCATAAAAGATCACATTGAATCCAAATGCCTTGGCTCGAACTGCAACTGCTTGCGCAGTGCGACCTAAGCCAAAAGAACAAAAACAGAAAGGCAGACAGTTGTCATGATAGGCTTGGCAACACGGTAGCAGTGCATAAATCCCAAAGAGTGCATTCAACAGTCCCAATTGCCACAACTTGCTGCCAAAGTACACTTTCTCCAACTACGTTAAAGGCATCCATGCTGCACTGATTCTCTTTTGTATTATCCCTTTGTCACGACTGCTGAAATGCTGCACTTGCACAGGGAAATAAAGTGGTACAGTGGTAATAGTACAGGAGCCTCCTTGTGAGTTTACTACTCTCTCAACGCAGTGCAGGAACCTCTCTGCTTTTACTACTCTCTCACTGCAGCTGAGCCTTTGCTATTTTCTCAGCTCTGTTAAGTCTTTGGAAATGCACTGAATTGCAGGGGTTTTGTGTGTTATAGCCTTCCAAAGCTGAATTTCTTTAGTAAGGTGAGTATTTTTCCAACTTTTGATGCCTTGTCTTCTGCACTCAGAAAAAAAAATGTCTCCTCATTTTGCTAATTTCCAAGCAAACTGTTTTTTAAAAATACATTAAAAGAGGAGTATGGCATTCTCCGGAGCCCCCGATGGCGTTGTATGTTACGCTGCTGAGCTGCTGAACTTGCTGACCAAAATCCGGGGAGTGGGGTGAGCTTCTGCCAACCTAGCAGTTCGAAAACATGCAAATATGAGTAGATCAATAGGTACTGCTCCGGTGGGAAGGTAACAGCGCTCCATGCAGTCATGCTGGCCACATAACCTTGGAGGTGTCTACGGACAACGGTGGCTCTTTGGCTTAGAAATGTCAAGGAAAAACCTTTATCTTACTTAAGGCATTCTCCACGCAATTCCTAGAATGTAACTATGAAGTCAGAACTCTGTTGTAGTTACACCTGGCAATGCCATCCTCGCCCTGAATGAAGTGTTTCCAAAGAGCTACAGCTTGGAGCAATGGGAATGGCGTTTTCTGTACTCTCCTAGTTGTAGGCTCCATCGAGAACAACTATCTATTCTCCACATGCTCTGTAACTAGGAGAGCATTGCACGTGTCATTCATCAATCCCTTGTTCTGTAATGCTTCAAAAAAGCATTGCTGGTTCCAGGTTGGAAAAAGTACATTTTTGAGGTCACACTCAGTCATTCATGACCATAAGCATAGATCTCAGCAGTTATGGTACTACACAGCCATCTTATTATTTTGTAAATGCTGAACAGGATGGCAGTGTTTACTTTTTAAATGTTTGCATGCTGTCCTGTGCCCTCTCTGTAACCTACCCTTACATAAAAATTATAAGTAATATAATTACTATAATGTGGAACAAGACTAGGAAAATACTTTGATCATAGAGAAAGATCATCTGGCCTATGAGGATTTGCTGCCTTTGAGGAGGAGAAGAAGGGGCAGGCAGAAAAGATGCATCCGTTGGAAATGATTCTGTTGTTTTTGGATACAGAACAACCTAGTCAGATTATTTGGTACAGAAAATATTGCGGTCTACCAAGAATGATGATCCATACAAGTGTCTGGAAAACCTCCTATTGTTGCCAGCTACCTAGTGCTCAGATATAGGAGTTGTCAAGCTCTGGGACCAGTGATATTCATTTTTCGCTTGCACTGCCCAAGTTTGCTCAGACACCGTAGTTATGGCTATATTCATCTCTCCTCAAAGTTGGTAATGACAATAAGTCTTCCTTAAGACCAGGGGAACAAATCATCATATGGCTATCCACATACTATTAGATTACAAATTCCAGTACTGCTACTCAGAACAGCCATTGGTGAAGAAGGCTAAGCTGAAGCCCAGCAACATTTGGATGGGTGCAATGTTCCTACCCATTTTAGACTAAAAGAAGTCATGACTATGTATCATGAATATACTAATAAGAAATACTGAGTCAACGAGAGACACTACAGCCATAAATAAGTAAAATGGTCTTTTAACATGTTTTCCCTTTACTTCACTTTATATAATAAATTCTATTTATTTATTCGTAGCACGATTCCCAGATCTGCACAGAACTTATTGTGGAAACAAGAAACGGCGGAAAACAGTGACCCTACTGAAATAAATGACTTCTGCCAGAAGGTATCATAAAGTTGCTTTGGAGAACCTAGAAAAATTATAGAAGGTATCTTCTCTCTGAATTTTCAAAGTCCTCCAGGGCAATGCTATGGAATCTTCTGGTCAAAACAAACCACAGAGTAACAAGGAAGACCTTGAAAAATCCTAGAAAGAACATATTTTGTCCTAGGTGAATAACTGAAACTGCAGGAACCAGGGGCCATAAGGTAAAGGTAATGGTTTCCCCTGAAATTAAGTCTGGTCGAGTCCAACTCTAGCGGTTGGTGCTCATCTCCATTTTTAAATTGAAGAGCCGGCATTGTCCGTAGACATCTCCAAGGTTATGTGGTTGGCATGACTGCATGGAGCGCCGTCACCTTCCCGCTGGAGCAGTACGACTTCATCTACTCACATTTACATGTTTTAAAACTTCTAGGTTGGCAAAAACTGGGCCTAGCAGCAGGAGCTTACCCCGCTCCCCGGATTTGAACCACTAACCTTTCAGACAGCAAGTTCAGCAGCTCAATGGTTTAATCTGCTGTGCCACCAGGGGCCCATACTGTATTTCATTTATATCCTGCTTTTCTCCGGGTAAAGGTTTCAAGGTGATTTAAAATCATGAGTACAAAGTACAATTAAAAAACGACTAATCTAAAAGTTAAAAGAAAACCATAGTAGAATTCTGTTTAAAACACAGAAGTTTTAAAAAAGCATGTTTAAAATAGAACAATATGTTGTCGTGAGTTTTTCAGGCTGTGTGGACATAATAAGATTTATATTATTTTATTCTAAGCTACCCTGAATCCCATTCATAGGAGAAAGGTGGGATTATAAATTGAGCAAATAAATAATGACTTTGTTTTTGAATGCCAAGTTACCCCTGCTGTTGCCTTCCTCAGCATCCAATTTAAGTTCACCTGGAGTTCTTTCAAGGCACTATTTGTGCATGTAAGAGAGACCCATTCAAATATTTCCTTATTTGTAGATTCACCAAGAACACCTTGCTTTGTGCCCTTCTTTTCATCTCCCTCCCTGCTGGTTGATCTTAAATCTCCAAGAGACACATTCTTAGGACAGACCGTCTTACTGCTGACTTAGCTGAAGGTCAAACACAGACCGTGTAATGCAGCGTGTACAAGGGCATTACTCAAATCTGCTTTTAGAATATAAGCAGCTATGGCATTTTTCAAAAATGTCCATTAACTGTTTGCCATCGCACTTCAGAGGCGATTAATGTGAACAGACGTTGCTATGAGGACGCTGAAGCATGCCTCAGCTTTCATAGGCAATGCAGAACTATTGATGGGGCAGTGCCAAATTCTCAGATTGGAGAAATAAGGGCTGGGTGGAGGCAAGCATCAGAAACTGGTTGGTAAGCTGATTTCCTTTGCATGAGGCAGGTCTTCCCCAAATATCAGGGTGCTGATCATCAGCACACATAACAGTTACTAAAATCTTATCTTCTAGCCACATCCAAGTCTCTGTGGGGCCTCTCAATTCCCACCTAAAACAGATATGATGTTAAAGAAATATTACAACAAAGGATTTTGGCACAACAGTAATGACAAACCCCTTCTGAGCCTTATTTATTGTAAAAGCAACTTATTTGCTGGAGGATCCTCTCCCCCCCCCCCCACCTTTTTCCTTCTGCACTCTTGCTGAATGGCTATTTAATTGGGCATGACTAAGACAACTGTCATGGTTTGGAAGCAAAGGTTTAATAAGGCTCTTCTGATAAAGAGGGACAGCTGCAGTGCAATCAGCAGGTCATTATCCACAATGTCATTCCAATTCAATGTCACCGCCTGAGCTCAACTACCCGACTCCTACATCAAGACAGGAGTCTTCTTTTACAGAAAGCAGAGTGGAAGCCAAACAAATAAGCCTCCCTAATGGAAATGTGGTTTGGTGAGGCTATAAATCGAGGGAAACCCATTTCCTTTCTTGACTGCCATATTTAGACACACTCAGGCATTCCTTGATATCAAGGGCTTATTAACACTTTTCACCAATGTACAGTCCAGTGCTTGGCACAATCTGCAAATTCAGATGCAAGCACCAATGATTACGAGCCCACCTAATTTGTTCTGAACACAGAAACTGCCGGAGTGGGCAGCAAAGAGCCTCCTAATAGCTATTGTAAGTATAAGGCTGACCACTGGGCAGCAGCTTAAGTATCTCTACTGCAGGCTATCACACTTCCTGATTCTTCACAGGATAATCAGGAACTATGAACTCCTTATGACCAGGTTGTGTGTATCTAGGCACGGGCAATCCATGGTTCTAAATGGTTCTAAAGTACTGACAAAACTAAAGTTCTGGTGGTGAAAATTTCAGCACTCTAACAAAACTTTCAAAATTTCATTATAAATGGCAGTTCCTAATTGGCTCTGTCATAAAAATCGGCAATCATGAAATAATAATGAAATTTTGAAAGTTTTGTTAGAGTTCTGAAATTTTCACCACCAGAACTATAGAAGCAAAGCACCAGCGCCCCCTAGTTTTCACCACCAGAACTTTAATTTTGTAAGTACTTTAGAACCATTTAGAACCATGGATTGTCCACGCCTAGTTACATTGTCCTACTATTATAGACAACCTGAATCCCTTCAACTCCATAAACCAGACACAGGAACCTTTATTAACATGGATCACAGTTTCCATCATTCCTTACTAGTGCCACTATCCTGCTGAGGATTCCAGTAGTTGAATCCTAAACATCTGGAAGGTCCAAAATAGTTCTCTTCAATAGTACCTACTCGTACCACAAATAATATGTCCTCAAATGGGATAAAAGTAGTGGGAGTGATGACTTTTAGTGAAGAAAGCTAGAAAGGAGAATCAAATGAATCACATGAGTATGGACACTTTTTAGGCAATGCGAATTTACAATTATCAAGTCTCACTGAAGAATCCACATTTAGGTCTCCTTCTAAAGCAGTGGTTCTCAACCTGTGGCTCCCCAGGTGTTTTGGTCTACAACTCTCAGAAATACCAGCTAGTTTATCTGTTAGGAGTTCAAGGCCAAAACATCTTGGGACCCACAGGTTGAGGACCACTGTTTTAAGGCCTCCACATTTTATAAATATCAACATCTTCTTTCCTAAGTTCTCCCATAGAAGCCACTAACATACCAAATCCAATCAGGCCAAGTGTTTCGCCTCTAATGCGAGCTGCGCCTGAAGCCACCTCCCGTATCTGTTCCACGCTTTGCACTCTGGTTCCTTCCCTCAGTGCCTGGTAGAGCCAAGTGTTCCTTCGGTAGAGGTTCAACACGTGGCACAGAGTGGAGTCTGCCGTCTCTTCTACTGCTGCCGAGGGGATGTTGCAAACAGCAATTCCTGGAATCATGAGACAGAAATACTTATCTTAGCAATCAGGAAAAATACTGTGAAATCAACATTTCTCTCTCATGTAATATTACTTTTAATAATAATAATAATAATAATAATAATAATAATAGCACACTACAAACAGAGGTACAACTCTGTGACACAAATGATTCACTGGAACTTATGTCACAAGTACCACCTACCAGTAGTAAAGAATTGGTGGGATCATAAACCTGCAAAGGTCGTGGAAAATGAACACGCAAAAATACTGTGGGACTTTCAAATCCAGACTGACAAGGTTTTGGAACACAATGCACCTGACATCATGATTGTGGAAAAGAAAAAGTTTGGATTATTGATGTCGCCATACCAGGTGACACTTGCATTGAGGAAAAACAACAGGAAAAACTCAGCCATTATCAGAACATCAAAATTTAACTGCAAAGGCTCTGGCATAAACCAGTACAGGTGGTCCGAGTGGTAACTGGCACACTTGGTGCCGTGCCAAAAGATCTTAGCTGGAATTTGGAAACAATAAACATTGACAAAATCACGATCTGTCAACTGCAAAAAGCCACCTTACTTGGATCTGTGCACATAATTCAGAAATACATGACACAGTCCTAGATGCTTGGGAAGTGTTTGACTTGTGATTTTGTGATACGAAATCCAGCATATAGATCTCGTTTGCTGTGACATACTGTGTTTTTGTGTCAGTAAAATAAAAATAATAATAATTATTTATTTGTAACCCGCCCTATCTCCCCGAGGGGACTCAGGGTGGTTTCCAACAGAAACATGGCAAACATTCAATGCCAGACGAACAATAACCAATAAACAACCCAACTAAAACCAGTAAACAAAACAATGCAAGAACTTAACAAAAACAAAGCAAGATATTCAAATAGTTAAACAGAACATAATCAAACCAAACCAAATCAAATCAACCAGACTTAGACTTTCAAACCTCACTTCTCTAGAAGAGTGCTCCTTACACTTCTTTCTGCTCATGACCCTTTTCTGCTCAAGAAATTTTGATATATATAGGCACATAGAATAGGCATAAAAATTGAACATTTCCTGAAAACAATTCACCATTTGCAAGGCTTGCTAAACAGGCTGATTTTAGTTTTTGTGGAGTACAACTGAAGAATTTTCAACCCTGCAGTTTTTTGCTAATACATTTGTGTCAATTGGTGGCGTTCAGAAGCTGTTTACTGATGCCAATTTTTTTGTGAACCCAACACTGAGCTAAGGGGAATCTTTTTGCGGGCTGGGACCCACAGTTTAAGAAGAAGTGCTCTAGAAGGTATGTAGGTCAGTGTCCAATTCCTGAATCCAAGCTGCATGTGGAATTAAGTTACATTTAAAACGAGGTTGGGGAAATGTGGCTTGTGAGTTATGTGAGGTCCATAGAGGTATTTTTCTGGCTTCCAGGGGGTCTAAAATTATTCCAAAATGTGTGAGGTGTTGTGTAGGGCATTTTTACCATGTTCTTAGCGCCTCGGGTCTTGTTGCTGTTATTTTGCACTGAAATGTCCCTTGGACTGAGTGGTAGTATTTCCAATTTAAGTCCTGTGATATTATGGCAATAAACATAGTGAAAATGTCCATCATAGGGTTACTTGGAAGCAAAAAAAAAAAAAAAAAATCCTATTTTTTCAGGTTTGCTAATAGGGAAGGATGTGGAACTCCAAGGTATCTGGACAAAATAATAAGGCCCCATAAAGTTTGCATGGCAACTCTTAGACTGGGTTCCAATACATCTTACTGTATGTTTCTAATATATGGCATTTATCCTTGAGACAGCAAAAGGGGGCTGCTTTCCTTTCCTTGTCCTGCCTACGTGCAGGAAGAGGACTTGCATTGCTCTCACAAGGTGATGCCTAGCCATGCACGTTACCAGGGCAGGGTTAAGACATGTAAGCAGCTTTGGCGAAGTGTAACCATGTTTACTCAACTTAATTGAATTTTGTCAGGCCAGGATTCCAAAGAAAGATGACCTCAGCACAATTTTCTTCCCACAAAATCATGTCCTAGCTGCTCTATGAAAGATGGCTTTGCCATTTCCCCCCTCCATTTATCTGCAGGGATTCAAAAGCAAAACTCATTCCTCTTCCCCAAATTTCATAGTTTTATCACATAAATAGACATTCAACAACCAGATTCTGAAACAGAATGCTTACAAAACACCGAATAGACAGTAATGCTTTGTAATATTTTTACATCACCTTTGATCCATACAGTTGAGAGGAAAATAGGTCTTTGCCCGACAATGCATTCCATTATGTATTATATTACATTGCAAGCCTCTGTTTATTTTGGAATTTCTCCTTTAACAAAAAACTCTCCTGAAATCATACTAGGTAATAAGCATGTTACAAAGCAGGAGAGCTGGAGGGAGTATAAAAATGACATGACCAGTCAAGCAAAAGTACAACTATTAATAGCCATCAAAAGCCTGCCATGGGCAAAATATAAGAAAAAAGGAGAAAAACAGGATGCAATTGTAATACATACATCTGCGAGACTGAACACCTCTGACAGCTACATACATTTTTTTCTCTATTACTGCTGGACTTTTTATTTTAATGTTGCATAGCTATGCATAGAGATTTCTTATAACCAGTCAGAATAATGGTCCATTCAGATTACTAGTGCCAATTTTGACAGGCACTTTATTATTATTTTTTCACATACACAGACCAAGATCCTGTATCGAGTGATGTACATGTATCACATAGAAACACGTATCCCCCACTCTTAATAAGGGTTAAACCCTTGTGCTGGTTATTACAGAATTTTATTACAGAACTGCTGACCTGAAGGTTGGTGATTCAAATTCGAGAGACGGGGTGAGCTCCCATCTGACAACTCCAGCTTCCCATGCATAGACATGAGAGACGCTTCCTACAGGATGGTAAAATATCCGGGCGTCCCCTGGGCAACATCCTTGCAGACAACCAATTCTTTCACACCAGATGTGACTTGCAGTTTCTCAAGTCGCTTCTGACATGAAAAAAAATGCTCACCTTGTAAGCAGTATCCTTCATTGGATGGGGGGGGGGGATGAGTGAAGACATATTCAGTTATTTTCCTTTAGTAGTAGTAGTAATAATAATATAACTTATTTATATTCTAGCCTATCTCTCCAAGGGGATTCAGGGCGGATCACCGTACACATAAACGGCAAACATTCAATGCCGTTTTGGACAGACAGGACAGAGTCAGACAGAACAGAAAGGAGGTATGTTGGGTTGACGTCCAGCGTTTTTGGTGCCTTGGAGGTTGTGCTCAAATCCAGCCACGGGGGGTGCTGTAGCTCCACCGTCTACAAAAAGCCACCAGGACTTCCTCCTTTCACTGTGACAGCTATCTGCAGATACCTCTGAGCTTCCCAGAATATCTCTGCAGATGACATCCTTGCAGCGTATGCAGCTACAAGAAAATAACTGGATGCACCCTTCTAACCATCCTGCTCTCCTAGAATATGAAAATAGCTGTGTTGAAGTGGGTTGGTGAACTGTTTACAAGGTGAGCTGGATGTGTGTGCGTGATCAATACATGGTCAGTTCATAATTCTATTCAGTTTCCAGTTGGGGAACAAGGAGGAGGATGTTTCCACCATCCCTATCAAGCAAGTGAGTCTATGGCAATCAGAAGCATGACTCCTACTAGCTTTACTCACTGGTGAGAGGGAATAGAATTGTGCATCAAATTGTGCCAAATGTAAGCCATCCTGAGTCCCTCTTCGAGGGTTGAGAAGGTCAGGGTAGAAATAAATAAAATAAACAAATAAGATCCCCCTGTTGTGCCAAGATTATGGAACACACTAATGGGGTGTATTAATTAGTTGTACTAATGGGGTACTCTTAGTTCAATACTGGGGTCTTGAAAAAATTGGCAATGGTAAAAGATTTCTGAACCTCACCTAGTGGCTGTTTTAGACATGTACACAGATATGTTGTGCAGTGTTAACAGTGAACTTCAGCTGTATTTCATAAAAAGGAAAACCAGCCTATTGAGCAAGCCTTGCAAATGCTGATTTATTATAATTAATGTCTGATTTTTATACCTATATACACGAGGTCATGTAAAAATTTCTCACGCAAAAAGGGGTTCACAGTGGAAAAGTTTAAGAAGCCCTATTACACTGTGTAACACGATTATTGTTACTGGATTATAAATGACATTTCCCAATTGGTTCTATCATTAAAACATGAGAAACGTTTATTAAACTGCAAAAACAAATCCTGCAGCACAGTTTGCTATAGTTTTTCAATGAATATCTCATCATAGAGTCTCAACCAATTCAAGCTAATTTGTGGCAGCCACAAAAATGAAGTTTCAGGGGGAGAACAACTACTTTCAAGATAAGGACCACACAATTAAACAGGAAATAATGCTTTCAAACCAGGAACAGCTCCCCCCCCCCAATTTTGTTACATAGTGTTATAGAAGACATACATGATTATTACAGAATTTTGTCTGATTATGTGTAGTTTAATTTATTGATGTTACATTTAATTTATTGATGTTAGGTCTTAATTTGATGTTAGGCTTTAATGTTACATTTATTTGTGGGGGGTTTCTGGGATTTTTTGTTAGTATCATGTGTTTTATGTAGGCATTGAATGTTTGCCATTGTTATGCTGGAATTCGCCCTGAGTCCCCTTGGGGAGATAGTGCAGAATACAAATACAAATTATTATTATTATTATTATTATTATTATTATTATTATTATTATTGTAGTTATGCGTCTATGTAGATTCTATAACAACACGGGACTAAAGGTCCCGCTGTAATGCAAGATTATTAAAAAAATATTCCCTAGAAGCAGCTTGCTCTATTCTTGTAATGACTGCCATGCCATGCTGTAAAGAAAACAGTAGAGAATTCCCAAATGACTGAGAACATTTTTATGCAAATGATTCAGTGAAGTGTCTTGTTTAGAACGACTACTGCAAAGGATATGTGTTTCTTCAGTTTTATTAAGATTTACAATGAAGTACTCTGAAGCAATTAATCAGTCTAATGACACCCTATTGACAAACATATACAGCTGGCACCCTATAAAGATCAATTTTATTTTATATGCTAATGCGATGGTACTCATTAGTGGTAAAACAATTAACAATGCCGCTTGCAAACAGCTCACTAGCATTTTAGTAGGAGGCAGAAACGGCCAATATGTTATAATTCTTAAATCTAGTTAAGGATAACATAACATAATTAGTTGTCTCTGTTTGTTCTCAGGCAGAAAGCGACTTTAATGCTAAGAGACATAAAATCAAGGGGGAATAATGTCTCCATGATATGGAACAAAAAGGGAGTTTAAGTATAAACAATATGCCAACTGTTGAACTGACAATTAATAAGTCACAGGCTTAAATACACTATCAGAGTTTGGTTTTAGAACACCTCTCTGTGTAGGTATATGACGGTTACGTGATAAGAACTATGACTCTGTTATACTACTAGTGTTTCAGGACAATTCCCACAAAATGCTCATCATACAGATGCTACCTGGAGTGTCTTCTCTAATAAGGATATTTCAGGTAGCGTAGAAATTGTGTTCAACAACATCTCCTGTTGATTGTCTTTCACCATATGCTTGGTTTCAATGCAGCTATCAAATATGCCTTCTGGCAGTTTGTAGTAGTGTGGAAACAAAGCACATACAAAGGGCCAATCCGTGTAGCAAGACAGCATATGCTACAAACCTAGTTTGAAACCATGGCAAGGCAGTTCTAAATCGGCTCTGCCCAGTGGCCATTTCATGATGTGGTGGCTGCTTAAGTAAATTTCCCTGACAAAGTCATGTCCCCAAAGGGAAGGCAAAGAGAATTGGGGGAAAGCCATGAAGAGAAAATGTTATTTCAGTTTATTAAATACTGACAGCAGGTCAAGTGCTCTCTTCGTGGAAATGCTGGTGTGCATGTGCTGCTGTTGTGCATATATATCAAGGGACAAAAGATGGCTGTGCCAGGAAAGTTTACTCAAGTGGCCAACGAATCATGAAATGGCAACCAGGCGGAGTAAATGCAAATGTAAAAAGTTGAGATTATTATTTTATTATTATTATTAAACTTTATTTGTACCCCGCTAGCATCTCCCGCAGGACTCGATGCGGCTTACAAAGGCCAAGGCCTCAACAAACAATACTGAAGAGAACATTACAAGTCAGCAACATGCCACCATTTCCTCTCTTGTTATATTAAATGATGCTGAAAGCATGTAACAGAATGTGGACAAGTAGTTGTAAACACACTTATGAAAACAATCAACACAAGGCATACCATGTAACACAATGCAGTCAAACTTTTCTTAATTGGAAAACATTGCAGATTTTCTGTGATTTTTGGATTAAAGATGGTTGTTTTTGAGGTCAACCATCTTGAGCTGCATAGAGAAGCAGATAGGTAGGCTGATAGCTGAACAGACTGATATGGAACAGTGGAATGCAAATAAAATTGGCATTGATGTTTCCCAAAACTTGTATCTAGAACAGAAAGTTTTGTGGATATTAAAGTACAGTAGAATCTCACTTATCCAACCTTTACTCATCCAACGTTCTGTATTGTCCAATGTAGTTTGCTTCCTACCCGGATCCATAGCTATTTCTCTCGGCAGTCAATGTTTTCAATATATTGTGATGTTTTGGAGATAAATTCATAAATACAGTAATTACTACATCACATTACCATGTATTGCACTGCTTTTTCTATCCATTTGTTGTAAAACATGTTGTTTTGGTGCTTAATTTGTAAAATCATAATGTAATTTGACGTTTAATAGGCTTTTCCTTAATCCCTCCTTATTATCCAAAGTTTTTGCTTATCCAACGTTCTGCCTGCCTGTTTATGTTGGATAAGTGGGAATCTACTGTATATGAAAAACCTAAATACCTACAATAGTGATCTCCAGGCTCTTTGATTATGTGTGTGGTGGTGTTGGTGGTGGGCAATACAAAAAATATTGTTTTCTCGTGTGTCAAGGACCTATACTATATTATGTCCTTTTTTTATTCCTTAGAACAGTGGGTCCTGTGGGTCCCCAGATGTTTTGGCCTACAACTCCCAGAAGTCCCAGCCAGTTTACCAACTGTTAGGATTTCTGGGAGTTGAAGGCCAAAACATCTGGGGACCCACAGGTTGAGAACCACTGCCTTAGAAGCTTATCTGGGACCAAATAACTCTGGTTGAGGGACCATCACTTTGAGTCTACTGAACAGATCCATGTCAATAACAACAACACTCTTAAGGCTGTTCTTAAACACGAAGACTTTCAAAAATTGTTTGATAACCCACAGGAACTGAATAGTAGCTTAATTATTTAAAAAAGCACAACGACAAATGGCTAGCTCCTCAAAGTGGATGGCAACTTTGAGAAAATGAAAAACTATCAGAAGTTCAGAAATCCAAATTTAGCTATGTGTGTTCACATCATTTATCGATGTCAAACCAAGTTTTCCTCCTTAATCTACATTTCTAGACCACGGTTTAAAAAAATGATGGAATAATATAAACAATTTTCCATATAACTTGCTTACATGCAATATGGTTTAATAGTTTAAGAATGAGTTTCAGTGTGCTTTCTACATACTTCTAGTATGGCTGCGAGCAGATTAGAAGCATCCATTTTAGATTATCTACAGCTTAGTTTGCTGTCAAGGCTGTGGTCACCAACTATGGGTAGTGGAAAAAGGCCAGCTTCCTAAATCAGAGTGTGAAGTTGGCTTGCTTCCATTAATCACTGAATAACCAGACAAGCCAAGTTGAAAATGGAAGCAAAAGCATACATCCTCATAATGGCAAGACGAAAGGAAGGGAGAGTTTTGTGTGTGTGTATGTGTGTGTTCACAAAATGGATAGGGGCAGGGGTGGATTTTGATCATTATGCGATCCGAACAAAATTCCAACTTCTGCAATGACCCAAAAAGTAAGTTGCATTAGCATTTGTTGATTATTTCACATTGTAATTTACCTGCTGCCTTTTACCTATGTTACAAAATTATTTTATTTTATGTCCATATTAGAACTTCATAAAACATTCAATTTAGTCCATGGAATACAAAGCTGAGAAGCCCTTAGGTACACTTAAATGCGTATCTGGTGTGGAACTCCCACATAGACATCGGAACAGCTGTATCACATCAAAAACAATAAAGCTGTGCCTTTGGATACAGGAAGTTACCCACAAACAAAACTAGGATGTATACATGATTGGGACAATTAGACAGCTATGGCATTTATTCCACTTTTAAGAAAAACCAACAGCTTGATTAAGGGGTCTGGTTGGAGTGGAGTCTAAACATACCAAGTTCCCCTGCAGCTTTGATGTCTATGTTGTCATAACCGCTGCCTATCCGAACAATGACTCGTAAGGCCTTGAATTTCTCTAGGTCTTCCCGGGTGAGGGTGATAGTGTGGTACATCATTGCTCCAACAGCTTCGTTTAAAACCTAACAGACACATACAGGCACAAAGAGAAGAAAATTATAGGCATTAGTGAAGCAGATGGATGGTGTTTCAGTAACAGCTGCTGAAGTCCAGCAGTGAGTCATAAGCAAGTATCTAGTAAGGCACATGGATCAATTTGATAAAACACTCAGAGACTCCCAAGTAGCAATGACACTTTATAAAGAGTTCTAGTACATATGTAGACAAAGACCAGCGTTTACATAAGAGAAGGGCAAATCTTGAGGATAGCAGCTCTTGTAAGCTCTTGTGTAAAAAGGGCAACTGACCAAGTGAAAATCATGAGCCAAGTGAAAATCATGAGCATGAAAACTTGTATGTTCTTTGTACTCTTTCCACATATCAAAAACAGATTACATCAGTGTGGCCCCTTGCCCTTATGGTCAATATTTTAATGTATTTTTATAATCTTGTTGGTTTGCTTAATGTTAATTGTTTGTACAGCAATTGTTTGTTTATTGGCATCTAATGATTGCCAGTTGTAAGTTGACCTGAGTCCCCCTCGGGGGTTGAGAAGAACAGGATATAAATATTCGAAATAAATAAATAAATTATGGAGAAACTTAGTGGTAAAATCAGATACTTTAAAAATAAACACTATAGAAGCATTTCCTTTACTGTTTGCTTTCTATTTGCTGATTATGCCACGTATAATGAAAATATATTAATGCCTCCATGATCTCATAACATCCTTTGGAACAATGTCCGATCACAGATCTAATTATGATAGAATTATATAATTAACTATCTTATAAAACATATTCTATGATTTGATAGTCTTGTGATACTTAACTTGGCTTTATTTCAATTGATGTAATTGCACTGTATTTACTTACTTACTTACTTACGTACTTACTTACTGTATTTATATACCACCTTTCTCACTACTGGTGGGACTTAAGGTGGTTTATAATATTTTAATGGCAAATATTCAATGCCAACATATATGTAAAAAAATCATAATAACTCAACAGTAACATATAACTAAGACTGTGAATTAAAATAATTAAAACTGTTAAACATTAGGCATAAATAACATTTAAACATTAAGACAAAGCATTAAAACATCCTAGTAAAATAGTAGACTGTAGCCAATCCAATTGTCATTGTACATAATCCCTAATTCTTCTTTGCACTTTACTGGCCAAAGTCTTGGTCTAACAACAATGTCTTTTTTTTCTTTATGAATGCCAGGAGGGAGGGCACTGAACTACTCTAAGTGGGAAGAGAGTTCCAGAGCCAAGGAGCTACCACTGAGAAGGTCCTGTCTCTCATCCCTACCAATCGCACTTGCGATGGAAGCGCGACTAACAGTAGGGCCTTCCCAGAAGATCTTAACCTCCGTAATGGTTCATAGAGGGAGATATGTTCGAACAGGTAAGCTGGGCCGGAACTGTTTAGGGCTTTATAGGCTAAAGCCAACACTTTGAATTGTGCTCGGTAGAAAACTGGCAGCCAGCGGAGCTGATGTAACAGGGGGGTTGTGTACTCCCTGTATGCTGCTCTGGTGAGAAATCTGGCTGCCGCTCGTTGGACCACTTGAAGCTTCCAAACAGTCTCCAAAGGCAACCCCACATAGAGTGCATTGCAGTGATCTATTCTATTGATACAAGTTGAGGATACCTTTTCCAGAATTCTGAAATGCTCCACAATGGTCTGCATGGATGTATCAAATAGTGATACCATTGCTTTCTCAGGGTTTGATGTATACAAATGTTGTTTCATGAAAACAAATAGTATATAATTACTGTCAGGCTAGGTATATAAGGTGCATACGAAGCATGAATGAATTGCATGTTTATATGAGGGTCCCATCTCCAAGGTAACTCGTTACATACAGATAGGCAAGTATAAGATATCCCATAATCCAATAAACAAAAAAAAAAATCTGAATTCCCAACACTTCTGGTCCCAAATATGTTAGATGAAGAATACTCAACATGTATAATAAAATCTATTTTGGGGGAGGGGGGAATGGACACAAAGACTTTGCCTTTTGTCCCTGTGCCATTCAACAATTTTCAGTTATGGAGTGTATTGTGTTACATACAGTATTGTGTACTGTGTTACATACGGCCCCCTCCTTCCTGACCTTTAGGCAACAGCTAAAGACCTAGCTGTGGAATACAAGCGTTCGGCCCAAAGAAATTAAAATCATAGTTTTGGGACCAGATAGTAGATGCAAGCAGCATTTCGGACAGTAGATGCAAGCAGTACTTTGACTGGAACGGCGATACAGCTGATGAGACTGTTTTACTGTTTTTAATGATTGCTTATGTATTGTTTTAACTATGATTTATGTTCAGTTGTGGTTTTATTATTGTAATTGTTATGTAGTGGCATAGTAACGGTGCCCATTGTAAGCTATCCTGAGTCCCCCTTCAGAGATTGAGAAGTGACGGGATAGAAATATGGTAAATAAATAAATAAATAAATAATAGGGATATTTAAAGTTGAAGTGAAAGTTGAAAGTGCAATGATAATAACATTTAAGGTTTTATCAGGCTTATCCTGTTTTTTTATCGATAGCATTGAGTTGTTGCCAACATAGTGAACCACACTGAGTCCCCTTTGGAGTTGAGAAGGGCGGTATACAAATACCGTAAATAAATAAATACATTTGGTGCCTTCAGAAGTTTCAGAACTTCCACCAGACCCACTTCAGAAGTTTCAAAACTTCCACCAGATCCACTCAGAAAGACCTGTGGTAAAGAATCTCAGATTTGTAACCCACAAAATCTGGAGGGCCCAACCTATCTCATTTCTACATTATACTCTGAATGTTCTGAGTGCAGTATATGTCCCCACACAAATCCATGTTGTTGCATTCATCCAAATAATGCTGACCAATATGCCATCCTTTGTAGGGCAATCACCACCAAACATTCTTAAATCCCTTATGTTGCCGGCTTATACCCCTCTTTCTATAACAGTCTTTAAAAATGATAAAAAGACAGGCGTGTCTTCCCAAGAGCCTTGCAACCAAATGAGAGTACAACTCTCTCTCAGTTCTCTCTATCAACCAGGAGATTATTCTAGCCTTTTATGTTATCCTTTAGGACACGAGAAAATCTGCACACATTTATTGCTTTAAGAACGAGTAAGTTTCATAGTGTATCAGTAGAACTAAAGAGATCATGTTCTGAAATGGCAGGTTTTCTTTTTCTTGAAGAATATGTCTAGAATTCTTCCTAGATATCTTCCCTGCCTCTTTCTCCAGCTCACAAAAAAGATTTCATTCCTTGAGGTTTGAATTCAGCTAAGTGGAAGGGAGATAAGACCTGGAAAATAAACTTGCTTTACTCTGAATACTCACTAGAATTTTGTAGACTACGACTGTCTTGTTTGTTGAAGAAACTTGCTATAGGTATAACCAAACCTCTAAGTGAATAGAGATGACCATTTCAGCATGTAGTCTTTCCACCTGACAGAACTTCCAATTCTGATCATAAATTAGAATCTAGGGTAGGGGGAAATCTCACTGTATGCTCTTTAAAGTAAGAAATGATTTATTATTGTTCCCTTTGATTCACAAGGAGAACAATCAATATCAACACCATCATTACTAACTCCACCATGACACCACATCTGGATTTTTTAAAAGCCTGGACAGGGAAATGGCAATGCCAGAGGCAACTCCCCCCACCTTGAGACAGCACTGGTGCTTCCCCCTCTGTAGAATAATCTTCAATTTATCCAAAACTCATGTCAAAATCCATATCCCTCCCCCAAATTTGCCCTTGACTTGTACATGAGGTTGACTTGTACATAAGTATATATAGTACTCACTATGAATATTAAATTCAAGTTTTAATTCAAAAGATTCTGTTTATACCTGATAAAGCTTGAACATTTTATTGATCTTTTATATTAATTGTACTGCAAAAAAGGAGCTTAACTAACCTATTCTGCAAGCAACACATTATATCAGATCATCATGTGGCTCACAGGCCACGGTTGTCCCCCTAGTCTAATGCAACTGTGCAGGCTCCCCTTCTGCTTGGATGAAATGCCGAAAAATGGAGAGACTAGTGAAACTTTTATACGATAATAAAAATCCCTGATTGGATTTCTGATTAAATTTTGCTTCCCCAATGCTAGGCACAGCTGGTTTAAGGTGTAGGGAAAATAGGTTACTTCCTCTTCTGAAGCTGCCAGGTCTGGTTGACTCCATCTCTGTCTCAAAATATACTGGTATGCCCGAAGAAGTCATGGGAGAAGCTTACTACTTTCAATTGGCAAACTATACTGAACTTCTGCCAGCAAACATTTGTTACTAATACTCAGATAATGGCTTCATTCCAACATCCCCTCTGTGTAGTGTATAGATCCATATGTGAATCTACATTATGCTAAGCTCTGTATCTTCTCCCCCAACCTGTTAGAGGGCCTCTGAAGGCTGTCCACAATGCCATTCCATTCTTTGTGGCAAGCAGGTAGGATCAGAAAAGCCTTTGGGCATGTCTCCACAGCCAGAAGCACAATGGAGGAAGTTGATGGACCTCAGTGTTGATGCCATCATTTCTGACTATGGGTTGTATCCAAATGCTTTTCTGATCCTTCCTGCTTGTCACAAAGCATGAGATGGCTGTGCAGAGTATCTTCAGAGACTTGACAATAATTCGGGAGGGGTGAATTATGAGGGGTCTAAAGGTTACGCCTCCACAACCAGAAGCACAATGAAGGAAGCTGGTGGATCTCAGTGCTATGCTTCTCTGATTCTGCCTTCTTGCTACGAAGAATGAGATGGCTGTGAAAAGTAACTCTGGAGGCGGTATGTGTGTGAGAGAGCTATTATCAGTCTTGAGCAGGCCTGCACAACCTGTGATCCTCCAAATGTTTCAGCCTCCAACTCCCTGAACCTCAAGCCAGCTTGTCCGGGAGCAGAAGTCCAAAACACATGGATGGTCACAACTTTCACAGACCTGGTCAAAAGGGAGAAATACAGCTCCACCCCCAGTGCCCAAAAAAAAGACACCTGAAC